GCTGTTTTTTACGGCCTTGGATATTCAGCCAACCATGTCTCTAAGAAAATATCATTCTAACCTTTACTGACACTGATGAATGTTGCAAACACATTTTCTTCATCCTACAAAACGTGACTCTTTAAGTGCACACATATCTCTGCTGCAGGTTACCTTGGGCTGGTGAATCAGGCGATGACCTGCTACCTGAACAGTCTTCTTCAAACTCTGTTTATGACGCCAGAGTTCCGGAATGCCCTATACAGGTATGTTTACAAAAAAAGTGCTCCTCTCACACCACATATAGAGACCCTTTTGTAGACCTATCGGCACTTGGTAGGTAATGTGGTAAGAATCACGCCAACTGCCTTTACTTCCCACAACTTTAACTGGTACGCATTAAGGTTGGGTCAGCCTGGGAGTCCATGCCATTTAAAGAAAAAAAAATGTCTGGTTCTGTCACGACCTGAAACCATGACCATGGAATCCGCAGGCGTGTATCTAGCTGCTGGAACATGGCAGATCCCCTATACAGTTACACCTTTTCAAAAATTTATATGTAAATAAGTGGAGCTCACCGGGGCCGCATTTTGTTTGTAAGAAATATCCACTGCTCCTTAACTCTTTCAGTCCCAGAAAAGGCATCATGTGTTCATTAGTTCCTAGCTGGAAGCCCAGTGAATGCAGGATGTGCCGATTTTATGTTTCTCTTTAACACTCCTTGGGCCTCTGATGCTAGACCCCTGGGACAAAAAGAGTTTATGAGCATATAGTTAAAGGCCACTGGAAAATGATTTGCTGAAATCGCTTATATCACAGCCAGGCTGTTAACCGCAGCACAGCACTCAAACCGTCTTTTAAGAACACATGCAGAAGAAGAGCAAGAGCAACAACTGTCAACAGGAATCAATATACAGAATCCATGTGTTAATGAAATAACTGCATTTTTGTTCAAACTGTTTAGTTTCTGGTTATAGATTCTGATTGGTGTATATTTGATTCAGGAGTTGATTTTGTGTTTTTGATGTGGATGTTTAGATGTGAATATATCAAAACATGAGGTGAATATAAATAAACTAAAAAGGTAAAGAAAAAAAAACTAAAAGAATTATTAAATTAATTTCGATGTCATGGCACTTTTTCTGAGTTTAAAATAGAATTAAATGTAGCAATTTACTCCGTGATGCACATGTAACCACACACCTCTTACTAGTTAAACCAAATGTTGGGCTACTTATTGTCAGCCGAACAAGCAGCGTTGCAGTATTATCTTATAAAAGATTTAATTTTGCTTAATTGGATGGTGTGGTGTGCTTGGCTTCAAGGATGGCATTTTTGTCCAGACCATTTTAAGATATCTTATTATTTGGTTATTGGATTGTGCAAGATTGTTGGATGGTGCAAGATTGTGGAACGGTGCAAGATGGTTGGATGGTGCAAGATTGTGGGACGGTGCAAGATGGTTGGATGGTGCAAGACTGGGGCATGGTGCGAGATGGTTGGATGGTACAAGCTGGTGGCATGGTGCAAAATTGTGGCATGGTGCAAGATTGTGGCATGGTGCAAGATTGTGGCATGGTGCAAGATTGTGGCATGGTGCAAGATGGTGGGATGATGCAAGATTGTGGCATGGTGCAAGATGGTTGGATGGTGCAATACAGATCCTGAGTTTGAATTGTGAATAATTTGTCACTGAAGGTGGACTTTTGATGGCACAGATGAAGAGAAGGTCAAGAGCATCCCATATCAGCTACAGCGACTGTTTCTTCAGCTGCAGGTGAGTGTTATGTTTACGATACATGGATTGTTGTTGTTAATGGTGACGGCAGAGCATGGTTGTGTTGCAGGTGAGTGTTATGTCTTAGGATACATGGATGTTGTTGTTAATGGTGACGGCAGAGCATGGTTGTGTTGCAGGTGAGTGTTATGTCTTACGATACATGGATGTTGTTGTTAATGGTGACGGCAGAGCATGGTTGTGTTGCAGGTGAGTGTTATGTCTTAGGATACATGGATGTTGTTGTTAATGGTGACGGCAGAGCATGGTTGTGTTGCAGGTGAGTATGAGTGTTATGTCTTAGGATACATGGATTGTTCTTGTTAATGGTGACGGCAGAGCATGGTTGTGTTGCAGGTGAGTATGAGTGTTATGTCTTAGGATACATGGATTGTTCTTGTTAATGGTGATGGCAGAGCATGGTTGTGCTGCAGGTAAAGATGAGTGTTATGTCTTACGATACATGGATTGTTCTTGTTAATGGTGATGGCAGAGCATGGTTGTGCTGCAGGTAAAGATGAGTGTTATGTCTTAGGATACATGGATTGTTCTTGTTAATGGTGACGGCAGAGCATGGTTGTGTTGCAGGTGAGTGTTATGTCTTACGATACATGGATTGTTCTTGTTAATGGTGATGGCAGAGCATGGTTGTGCTGCAGGTAAAGATGAGTGTTATGTCTTAGGATACATGGGCGTTGTTGTTAATGGTGATGGCAGAGCATGGTTGTGTTGCAGGTGAGGATGAGTGTTATGTCTTAGGATACATGGGCGTTGTTGTTAATGGTGTCGGCAGAGCATGGTTGTGTAGCAGCTGTAGCAGATTATTGCATTTTGGTAAGGTAAATTTTGACACGGAGTCAGAGTTCTTAAAGCCACCATTTCCTAAATTCTAGAGACCTAAAGGTGTTATCAAACCAGTGGGAAATATATAGAAGTCGAAGGTACTAAAAAACAAACTAACTATAACTTGTCACAATCATCGTTTGTTTCAAATGATTAAAACAACTTTCTACAGTCATGGCATGTTTCCAATCATTATAGCAAGTTGTTAGAGTCATTACTTGTTTACAGTTATTATAACAAATTGTTACAATCATAACTTGTGTCCAGTGATTATAACAGCTTGCTTCAATCATTTCGTGTTTCCAATCCTTATAACAGCTTGTTACAATCATGACTTGTGACCAATCAGTGTAACAATTTGTTACATCATGACTTGTATCTAGTCGTTATAAAAACTTGTTATATTCATGACTTGTTTCAAATCATGAATTTTCCCCAAACATTACAACTTGTTACAATCATGACTTGTGTCCAGTCACTTTCCCATGTGGGTTTCGGGGCCCTATTGTGGGGAAAACAAGAATAGACCCATTGCTTATCTCATTAGAGACGAGTTATTGCGAGTTTTCTTGGAAGTCGGATCGCATCTGCCTGAGAGGCAAAGAACCAGCAGTCTGCATACAATTGAGTCTGATCTGTAAAAGGGATGCAAATGCAACAATCAGGTTCTGGAACATGACTGCAGTCCAGAAGTGGATGAACAACCAGAACTTTCCACCAGAGTTTACAGCTGGTGAACACGAGGAAGAAAAAGTCCAGTCAACTTATAACAACTTGTTGCATTCATGACTTGTTTCCTGTTATTATAACAACTTGTTACAATCATGATTTGTTTTCATTCATTATAATGTTACAATCACAACTTATTTCCAGTCACTGTTACAATCATGACCTGTATCCAATTATTATTACAGCCTGTAACAATCATGATTTGTGTCCAGTCATTATAACAACTTGTTACAATCTTGACCTGTTTCCAGTCATTATAACAACTTGTTACAATCTAAAATTTTGACTTGTTTCAGACCAGTAAGAAGAAGGCTGTTGAGACCACAGATCTCACACGTAGTTTTGGTTGGGACAGCAGCGAGGGTGAGTGCCATTTATCTGTCTTAGGTACTCCCCCCCCAGCCTTCCCTACTGCCGTCTTTTTTCCTTCCTTCAGTTATTTCCAGCCTTGTTTGCTTCATACATGCCTTCCTTCTCATGTGGGTCCCAGGCCCCAGTTGTAGGGGACACCAAAAAAAACAACAGACTCGCTGTCCTCTCATCATCATCATTTTCCTGTTGTGCCACTGTATGTCACAAAGGGCTGTCATTCTGTTTTCCCATTTTGTTCTTTCCTGTGCAGACCTTCCATATCATGGACGGAATTCAGTCCAGCTTGGCTTCTCTTGTGAGCGTTCGGTTCGTATTAGGGTTTCTTTTGACGTCTTTGCTTCCTCCGTCCTTTTATTTCTAATTTTAATGCTTGCTTAGTGATTCTCTGGTGATTAATTGCCAGTCCCAAGCTTGGATGACAAAGAAGGAGGGTTGAGTATGGGTCTACCTCGCTCACCCTGTGAAAGCTGTGTTTTTTGGTTTTTTCTTCTAGAGAAACTTGCAGGAAAGTTAAACAGACAGCCCCCTTTACCCTTTACTAGTAATATGTAAAGAAGGATGTCTGATTAGGGGATTTCTGAAATCATTTGTGTTTGGTCAAAAGGGGCAGATACTGCAGCCTAGCTGTAAACCACAGCACAATGTGCCAGTTGCCTCTTTAAGGGTGAACACAAAATAATAAAAATCCCTTTCTGTCTCCTTCCTTTATCTCATAGTTTTATGTATGTGTAAAGTTATCACCCTTATGGGCAGCACTAGAATATTTTATTGTTTAGTTTCATGTATATGTAAACTGATTACCTTTACAGGCAGTACTATAATATTTTACAATATAATGTTTCATGTATAAGTACACTTATCACCTGAACGGGCAGTACTAGAATATTTTACATTCTGTAGTTTTATGTATATGTAAACTGATTACCTGTACGGGCAGTACTAGAATATTTTACATTGTGTAGTTTTTTGTATATGTAAACTGATTACCTGTACGGGCAGTACTAGAATATTTTACATTCTGTAATTTTATGTAAATGTAAACTGATTACCTGTATGGGCAGTACTAGAATATTTTACATCGTATAGTTTTATGTATGTAAATTTATCACCCTTTCGGGCAGTACTAGAATATTTTACATTGTGAAGTTTTATTTATATGTAAACTGATTACCTGTACGGGCAGTACTAGAATATTTTACATTGTGATGTTTCATGTAAAGTACACTTATCACCTGAACGGGCAGTACTCAAATATTTTACATTGCATACTATCTATCTGTGCATACTTGTGTCCCCCCAGTCTGGCAGCAGCATGATGTCCAGGAGCTGTGTCGGGTCATGTTTGATGCTCTGGAACAGAAGTGGAAGAACACATGCCAGGCAAACTTGATTAACCAGCTGTACCAGGGCAAGCTCAAGGATTATGTCAAGTGTCTCGAGGTAACCTTCCTTTGATCTTCTTCTTTATCGCGTTCACCGGCTGTAAACTTCAGCGGAAAGTTCCGGTTGTTCATCCACCTCTGGACTTGTTTCAGAACCTGTGTGTTGCATGCACATCTGTTTTACAGATCTTACTTTTTTGTATGCAGGCTGTTGGTTCCTTGCCTCTCAGGCAGATGCATCTGATGTTCTTCATTGTTTCCTATTGAATTTGTTTTCACTCTTCTCAGTTTTTGTTTCATTTGCAAGCATTAAAAATATTAGTTTAGCTATGGTAGTTTCCAGTGTAGCTTGGCAGATAACTAGAGACAAAACCTATGTACACAAAAGAGTTGAATGATCCTGTGTAGCTTGGCAGATAACTAGAGACAAAAACTGTGTACATAAAAGTTGAATGGTCCTGTGTAGCTTCGCAGACAACTAAAGACAAAACCTGTGTACTCAAAAGAGTTAAATGGTCCACTGAAGCTTGGCAGATAACTAGAGACAAAAACTGTACACAAAAGTTGAATGGTCCTGTGTAGCTTGGCAGATAACTAGAGACAAACACTCTTTACACAAAAGAGTTGAGTGGTCCTGTGTAGCTTGTCAGATAACTTGAGGCAAAAACTGTATACACAAAAGAGTTAAATGGTCCTGTGTAGCTTGGCTGATGACTAGAGACAAACACTATCTACACAAAAGCGTTGAATGGTCCTGTGTAGCTTGGCAGATAACTAGAGGCAAAAAGTGTGTACACAAAAGAGTTGAGTTGGAACTGACCCAAAAGACAGAGGGGAGATAACATATAGACTGACCTACAACCATTTAAACTTACCAACAGTCACAGGGATGGATGGAGATGGAAGTGAATCTCAAGGGCTCAGAATGCTGAATAAGTAGGAGTTCTAGGTTTCAGTTCTGCATTGATGCTAATATTGGTTCAAATTGACCTTGATATCACTGGCTGTAAACTCCGGCGGAAAGTTCTGGTTGCTTGTCCACCTGTGGACTTTAGTCTTGTTCCAAAACCTCAGTGTTGCGTGCACATCTGTTTAACAGATCTGACTTAATTGTATGAAGATTGTTGGTTCCTTGCTTCTCAGACAGATGCAGCTCCGACTTCGAAGGAAGCCCCCCAGTTATTCGACTCTTACGACCTGCTTGTTGGGGAGGCATTGGGTCTGTTCTTGTTTTCCCAACAATGGGGCCCTACAACCCACATGGGGAAGATACAAGGTAATGTCCTGGGAAGTAAAGGTGGGAGCAGTGTGATGTTGATCACATCACCTATTGCATCCTGATTGGTCTGCAAAAACATAGGTTGACATTGTATGCCAGATATGCTAAAGGGGGCCTTTACTTTATGCTGCTACACTGAAGACTAAATGGAGAATATGTTCTGTAATTTCTGTTTTCTTTGTCTTAGTGTGGATACGAGAGTGCTCGTATCGATGCATATCTGGACATACCTTTGGTCATCAGACCGTTTGGATCTACTGAAGCATACAGCAGTGTGGTAAGTATTTCTCGGGTCCCACCCCATGGGTTGCAACCCTAAATGATGTCTCACTGGCTCTCAGCCCACAGTGGGGTCGATGGACAGTGGTGAACTAAGCAGATTTAAAAAAAGGTTAAACAAAAATCACTTTATGACGTCCTACACAGAAAATCCCTTTTCAGTGTGTTTCGATTTACCATTTTAAAAGGCCTTTTAAACAAAATATCTGTCACGAGTCACTTTGCCTGTTTCAAATTGAGTCGCAATGGGTCACTTTGCCTGTTTAAAATTCACATGGCGGGAAGACGACGTGCTCCGATGCAGGTTAGGGATAGTGTTCTTCCGATTAAACACACTGCCGAACGTACCCCCCACGCGCGGATGGGGGGCTAAACTAGATGCCAGGACTCGCGAGCAGCAGCTACCGCATCTCCTGCAACTTCCTCCAATTTATTTGCTTGTGAGTCACAGTTTAGCCCCCATCCACGCATAGCGGCACAGGGGATGATGCGACATAGTCGCAGAAACGGGTCCGCAAATAACATATCCCTGAGACCCTGTTAGAGTATTTGTTTGCCCTTGATAATATTGGCCCGTTATTCGGAGGCAATCCTAGTTTTGCCGCGATTAGTTCCTCCGCAGGCACTCCGCATTTTACACATGACTGAGGCCCTTTAAAGGTATTTGTTTGGCTGCCATAATATGGAGACGAAGTTCGGAGGAGAGCCGCTTTTACTTCTGGCAATGGTTAGCCTTTGCATTTTCCTATATATTTACAATAAAAAAAAATATAATTATGTCGCCCAGTTACTGAGCTGAGTGCATGGCACAACACTGTGAATGTTCTTCGACTGTCCAACATGGTTTGTATTGTATACTTGCAGATTTATAAAATAGTGAGTGGCCTGTTGTCAGGAACTAATAGTGTCTTTATGTGATTAATTGCATGTGCAACTACTGATCTATTGTAGCTGCTGCTTGTAATCGCATTTCTAATGCCGGACTGTTTGTTTTGGCGAAAAGTTCTGATTGCTTATCCACTTCTCGACTCTAGTCTTGTTCCAGAAACTTAGTCTTGTGTGCACATCCGTTTTACAGGTACGGCTTACTTGTATAGACACTTGGTTATCTCAAACTGATACACTCTAACTTCGAAGAAAACATCCCTTATTAGTTGACTCTTACTACATGCTTCTTAGGGGTGGTGGGTCTATTCTTTTTTCCCCTATCACAATGGAGCCCCGGAACTCACACAGGGAGGGATCTGTGTTAGTGATGGTTTTTGTAAGCGTAGGAGCAGAGCAACTATAGAGTGATCCCATTTGCTATAAAATTAGAACTGTGATTACCAGGTCTGGCAGTTTCAAAGTCTGCACCTTTGGAAGTACAGGTGATGATTTTGTAAAGGTGGCAACGTCTGCACGATCCGAAGTAGTCCAAGAACACTGTTCAAAGATAACATTTGGGAACCTCTACAACAGTATCCTTGGCTCTCAAGTCAACCCAGCCTGTAATCGGTACCATGTAAAGTCCTGGGAAGTAATGTTACCATCGGGATGTTGACATCACCACCCGTCGAAGGCCGGTCGGTCTATACAAATATGAATCTAGCATCATCTTCTATTTCCTCCTCGAGTTCCTCAGCTGTAAACTTCGGGGGAATGTTCTGGGTAATCGTCAACCTCCTGACTTTAGTCTTGTTCCAGAACCTGAGTGTTGGGTGCATATCCGTTTTACAGATCTGCTTCCTTTGTATACAGACTGTTAGTTCCTTGTCTCCTAAGCAGATGCTCACTGACTTTGAAAGAAGCTCCCAGTTAGAGGACTCTTACAACCTGCTTTTGCGTGGGCAATGGGTCTATTCTTGTTATCCCTAGAACAGGGACACCGGAACCCAGCACAGGAAAGTCTAGCGTCATTCGCCTGATTCGCTGTTGCCATAGAATTTTTTTTTTTTTTTAAAACAGCAGTATCTGGTGACTGGCGGAGGCTGCCAGAAGAATAAGAAGGAGACACTCTATCTGCCTTAACACTCAACACTTGTAAAATAGGAAATAATGTAGAAGAAAACAGTATCTGTTCCTCTTCTTTGTTCACCTGCAGTAAGCTGCATCAGAAAGTCCTGATTGTTCAACCATTTGAACTTTGGCTTTGTACCAGGACCTGAGTTTTGCATGTTCATCCATTTTACTGGCTTATTTGTGTGCAGTTGGTTATTCCTTGCCGCTCGGACAGATGCACTCCAATTTCGAAGGAAGTCCCCAGTTAGTCGACTTCTTTGATAACATGCTTTTTTTTTTAATGAGGCAGTGGGTCTGCACTCATAAGAAGTATAAAGATAGGACACACTCGATATCATAGCTTTCAATTTTTATGTTGTCAGGTGTGTCCTATCTTTATACTTCTTATGAGTGCAAAACCACTGCCTAGACAACATGAAAATTGAAAGCTTTGATATCTAGGGAGTACTTGTCTTTCTGCTTTATTGTATAAGTGCCAATCAATATCCAGTACTTAGTGGCAGCATCTTTTCCTCACTTCACTAATATTAATGCCCGGACCTATTGTTTTTTAAATCAAATTGTATCCTTTTGTGTCTTTAACATATAAATTGCAATGAAGTTTTTTGTTTCTTCAGAAAGAGGCGATGGAAGCATTTGTCCAGCCAGAGATCCTTGATGGGACAGACCAGTACTTTTGCGAGCGATGTGACAAAAAGTGCAATGCCCATAAGGTAATTTCTCTTCTTGTTTGACCCACCATCCATGTAGAAGTGAAACGTGATATATTATGTCTTTAAAAAAAATTATGAGTTATTATTATGGTGAAGTGGCGCGGTGATTTATGTCACAGGCGTGAGGGGAAGTTAAGTCCAACATGATGTGTATAAGGAGATACTCCGTACGTCACTCGGGCGCCAGTCCTTTAATATCCTGGTTGTACGGAACCTCACGCAAGACCCCGGCAGCACGTCCTCGTCGTGCGCCACGGATAATGTCTCAAATGAGCATTAACAGAGCTGTCAGGGGATCTCGGAGTTTGGCGGCCCCCAGAGGTGATGTGTCCTTGTGGCTCTCATCAGCCCGCCCCCAAACGCTTGGGTGAAAAATGTTATTATAACTCATTAGGAACATGAGTAGGTCTGCCAAACGTACAGCCAAAATTACAACCCTTGGTTAAAAGACTGCGGAGTAAAGAGAACATTGTTCACTGCACATCCTCTGTTAACCCTCAGTGTCGTCGTCACCGCGCTGGGTACACCACAACAGCAACCATCCATAGGCTGGCCATTCATGTACATCCTCGGTTAACCCTCAGTGTCGTCGTCACCGCGCTGGGGTACACCACAACAGCAACCATCCATAGGCTGGCCATTCATGTACATCCTTGGCTAACCCTCAGTGTCGTCGTCACCGCGCTGTGGTACACCATAACAGCAACCATCCATCGGATGGCTAAGCCTAAATGTCCGACAAAACTAGATCATACGGATCAAAATCTGCCCTCAAAATTTGTATTGAACTGAAAAAAAGACCGAATGTCCACACCCAAAGACCCCACTCGCCCGAGTGTTGGGACAAAACTGATACGATATGCCTGGAGCAGGATGTAAAATTCTGTCGGGCTAACGGCTCGTCAAAGAAATCTAACGTGCGAAGAAAAAAGAAGTACCTATCTGTGTGGTCACAAAAGTCCAAAACCCACGGGCTGCTCCCCGCTGACTTCCAGAGGGCGCAGCCCCTGTCGAGCGGGAGGCCTGATACGGTTGTGAGGTTAAGCAGGCATGTGCAGGACGTGACGATTCCTTGGGTGAGCCCAGAACCAGAGCGCCATGTGCCGGCTCTGCATACATGGATGCCTCCTTGGATGGCGGGGAATGCCCATGATCTGCCCCTGCCTTCCCTTGAGGGCTGACTGCTCCACAGGGGGCTGACCCAAAGGGGTACTCCGGGGGGCAATACCTGCGGCAAAGGAGACAATGTGGACACCACACAAATCAGGCAACGCCTCGACCCACACAAAACAATGGCCACAGTCACCCTAGAAATAGGCCTGACGTCTTCCTTCGAAGTCGGCGTACAGCTGCCCATGAGGCAGGGAAATGAAAAACGGTTGTACACGCAAAAATCAGGTCCAGGTGAAAGCCAAAAGTCCAAGCGGACGATTACCTGACCTACCACTGGAATTCACAGCCGGTGTTCGATGAAAAAAAAAAAAAAAAATTATGGTGAAAATTAAATATATTTAAATGGTAGGTACTAGTGATGTAAGATCTCCGCGTGGGTCCCATGACCCCAGTTTAGGGGTATTTTCTTCAAAGTCAGATTGCTTCTGCCTGAGATGTGAGGATGCAACAGTCTGCATACGATAAGCAAGATTTGCAGAATGGATGTGCAGGTCAAACTCAGATTCTAGAGTTCTAATATCCTTTGTGGTCGGCTAAAAAGAAAGCACCAAACTTCTGTCGCCCGCCTTAACTAGTATTACCATGGGCTGTGATTCTTATACACAGTGTAACTCTTCTTCCTCTTTACTTCCTCTTCAAGTGCTGAGGGAGATATAAGGTTGTTTTCCCTCATCTGGCCAATCCGGCCCTAGTTCATCACGCTGGTGTAGAGCTTCCCTGATTGATATCTTTCCATTTTGTTCTGGGTCTTCCTCATGCTTCTCTTTTAATGTGTACATTATGTAGTGTAATGTCACAGGATGAAGCAACACTTTAATTTGCTGTCTTTATATGTAATTTAGAATCTGTTTTGTGGCGACTTTTACCCTTATGATATCATTCCTAATTTGATCTCTTCTGATCCCTCCTGCAGCCCTTCTCAAATTATCGTTTTGAACACTTATCGCCGGGAAAGACTGAAAGGTGCCCAAAAAAATATGTAAACAGGCACAACATGGCCCTATTGCCATGAATCCACCTCAGTACCTGTATCTTTTATTTACCGTTTACCCACCTCTTTATATCGTAGTATAGAAGAGGATCTTGGCATCCTTTACTCATCTGTAATTTGCTATAGAGAATGTCCTTGACGACTTAATTCGTATAATTTTGTAGTAAAAGAGCACTGCACTGTTTCTCTCCAGGGTCTGAAGTTTGTCACATTTCCTTACTTGCTGACGCTACAGTTGAAAAGATTTGATTTCGACTACTCTACCATGCACAGAATTAAACTCAACGACAAGTAAGTTCCATTTTAACCTAAACATCATCATCATCACCTGCCCTGCTAAATGGCATAGGTGCTCATGCATCTCCACAGATCACAATCCCTGGTTGCCTGGAACAGCTCTCTTGATGATATCCCTCCATGCCATCGTTTCAGCCCATCCAGCATCATCTCTCTTAATCTGCCTGTACCCCTCTTTCCACTGATCTTTCCAGTTGTTGTGATGTTTCCCAATGCCTCTTCTCATTACGTGGCCAAAGAACAGTGTTTGTCTCCTTATTGTTGTATATAGAGATCTACTTTCTTTAGCTTCTTTCAAACAATCGTTTTAGTGACTCTGGCCGTCCAAGGTATTCGTAACATTCGTCTCTGAAACTACATCTCAGTTCCTCCTAATTTGTTCACTGACATTCCAAGATTTGCTGCCACACAGCAGAACAGGTCCTCAAACCGTTTTGTTAGTATTCTCTGTTAGAGAAAGGGTTAAAACATGTTCTGCTTATGTCCGAGGCAGACCTGTTGCTTCAGACCATTTTAGCACACTATTTCTGACATTAAATGAGAGAGACTTATTGCTTTTTTTTCATTTTCTGAAATGCAGCTTTCGCTTGACCTATTCTGCTTTTAATCTCTGTCACACATTTTCCATTTGATGATCTGACTGTTCCCAGATATTTGAATTTATTAACCTAGGCTTTTATAAAATATCAGCATTTCAGCTCTGCCTTCATTGTCTCCACATGTCTTTATTAAATGGGTTTTGGCTGGGACGACCAGCCAGATCAGTAAATGTCAGCTGAAAGGCATGATTATCACAGCTCTGCTGTAAACAAGCAGACATACCCACGTGCACACACACACCCTGACTAAATCTTTAAAACACGCACGCATCGACACACACATGCACACACACATGAGAAGAAAAATAAAAGGTATATTATATGTTTGTACATATAACCTTTTATAATGATGCATCTTACTGCGTACAGATACAGTGCTCACTCTCTTGTTTGCATCAAATAGTCATTAGTATTCATCCCATTCGATTGGTCCGTAGATCAGTCTGCCTGCATATTGAATCATCGAGTCAGTAGGTGCTTGGATCCTCACCGTGTGTTTCAGTATATAACGACTGACGAAGATGTTAGCCTTTTTTTCTGCTTTTGGCTTTTCTCTGGCTTCTTCCCCAAAAGATTTGTTGACATAATTGTCATGAAATATTCTAGGATGCAGGAGCAGCTGGCCAATGGTTAGAATCCAGGGCTGCCTGTTAGGGTTTAAAAAAAAAAAAATTTCTACAACAGGAGGAGATAATCTACCTTCTTTTTTCATGTTAAAGAAATTGAATATATCATGGCGGTGAGAAAGTTGGAGGGGAGGAGAGACAGGGAGACAGAGAGAGAAGAAGCTGGACAGTTTGACATCATGGCATGGAGAATCATCTATGTCAGAATTGATTGAAAGTACATGAGATAGAAAGTTGGGGATAGGCATGACTACCAACGCCACATGGCATGGACTATAAGAGGAGAAACCGGCACTAGCCATACAGCCCTACATCCGCATGCTCAAATCCCCCTGTTGTTTACTGCTGAAAAAAAAAAAAGGGACTATAGACACTGGTTTTTGTTCTTCTGTTCTAGGATGACTTTTCCGGAAGTACTGGATTTGAATATGTTCATAACCCTGCCTGGCCAGAACAAGAAGAGCTTGGAGGAGGATGACGTGGAGGTGGAGAAAACGGCCAGTATGTCTAACGGTCAGGCAGACAGCAGTGACGAAGGTCAGCCTCTTTCCTTAATTCCAATGTTTTCATGACATATGTTTTTTTTAAAAGTATTCTCGTGGAGAAAGGGTTATAATATGTTCTGCTTATGTCCGAGGCAGACCTGTTGCATCAAATCATGAATATGGTGAATTTCATGAGTACCAAGGCCAGCTTTGATAACCTTGAAGGTACAAGGCTAAGTTTTATCTCAGAAATTGGTGGTTTGAATTTAGTTCTGAATTAATTTTCACATGTAAGGAACCTGATCTGATCTTTTCATTGGTGGATGTGATTTCTAAGCATCTTTAGTTAAGGTTCATAAACAGAGGTCCATGTGTTTGTTGTGCTTATCCAAGACTCCCTTATATTTGAATCTGTTTTTGACCATAGCGTTGGAACATTGCTAACAGAGAGATGGAGGCACACACATACGACACGCACGCAAGCAAGCATCACACAGCTCCAAGTCCTTTATTAAAAACAGACTTCAAACTTTATCTTTGAATTGAACCATTAACTTGAAATTACAGTCAACACTAAGTCCTTTTTTCTCATGTCAGCAGTCTCTTCTCTTTGAAGCTTCATTTCACAGACAGTGATCTTCTGTTATAAGTTACCTGCCGCATCCACAGTACAGGGCGGGGAGGTCGGCAGAAGGCAGGGAGGTTGGCAGAAGGCAAGGAGGTTGGCAGAAGGCAGGGAGGCTGGCACTGCTAACTATGAGAATATGACATAATATTCATCATCTTCTTCACGAAAAAAAAAAATTTGTGACCCTATTAAGATTTCGGAAAAAAAAAAAAAAAAAAACCAACAGCATTTTTTTTTTCACAAGTCACTGATCAATTTATTTAAAATTTATTTGTCACCATTTTAAAATTACTTTAAAAAAATATGAAGATATACGAAAGGAATAATCAGTAAACATGAACGGGGGAGAAGCATTTAATTAAATACATTCCCTGGGGCCTAAAAACACACGGGTGTTGGGTCACTAATGATATGACCTCGTAACCTTTACCCAAAAATCTTATGTCATCTTGGCTTTAAAAAAGCACTCTGATAAAAAGGAAAACCTGCCTAAATGCTGTAGTTTGTTAATTTATTCAAATCCCGACCTTCTAAACGCTTGCACAGGCACGTTCCTAACCAGTTGCATTAACTTTACATCTCATAAATAAACAGGTCATAATAGGCAAGTCGGAAAAAGATATTTACGGGGAACTTGACCTAACCGGAAGTGTCAGTTTTTTGGCTTCTAGGGGGAAATGGGTAAACTCTTCACCACCAAGGAAAACATCATGTGTTGATTCATAACTAATTGTAGCTGTCCTCTGGTGCTGAAAGAGTTGTGCCACACCTGCTACAAAGTGGATCTTTCCCTGCAGGTGTTGATGAAGGCATCGAGGTAGAGAATGGATGTTCGGCCGGGTCCTCGAGCAGTGATTCCTCCAGCATCAGCAGTGATGCTGCTGCTAACAACTCCCGCAATTCCTACTACTCAGGTGAAAAGGTGAGTTGAACTGTTTGTGGTTATTATTGGTGTTGCAAGCTAGAAATGGATTGACTGCAGCAGACACAAAAGTAGCTTACATCAAGCCATCCCTGCACGTCAAGAATACAAAGAGGTATGATGTATTGCAGAATTAAGAATTGTCTCCCTCTAAATTTATCCTTTAAATGCCATTTGGTATGCTCTGTTATGGTTTACAGCTTCCCTGTGTGGGTTCCAGGGTCCCACTCGGGGTGGGGGGGGGGGGGGGGGGATAGAATTGACCCATTGCCCCCCTAGCATGTCGTAAAATTTGACTAATTAGGGGTTTTTCCTTTGAAGTTGAAGTGCATCTACCTGAGAGGTGAGGAACCAACAGTTTACAGAAAAGCAAGATCTGTAAAAATCAAGTTCTGGGACAAGAGCAAAGTCCATAAGTCAACAACGACCAGAACTGACTTCCAGTCAAAATGGACGCTAGGCAGGGGCACTGTTTGGAGCCGAGGCCAATTTTTTGCCTCAGCGGGACGGTGGCCGATGCCTTTTTGCTCCATTTGTAGACTGGTTATAGTTTTGTCGCCCAGCTTCTGAGTTGAATGCATGGCGTGGCACTGTGAGCTGCGGATTTCATTTGGAATGTTTTTTCAACTGTGACCAACGTGGTGGTGTGAATTGTAGATTCAGAAAATGGCGCGATGCCTGTCGTCGCAATGTTGGTAGTGCCCGCATGTGATTAACATTGATCACGCGGGCAACAGCTGATCTGTTCGTGACTTCTGCTATCATCAATGATGAACTGAATTTCTAATGTCTTACTGTTTGTGTTAGCACTTGGGATGGCTACGGTATGCTTTAATGCGTGTGTATGCTAAACATGCTGCGACGGCAGTCTCTCAATCTTTCCACAAGGGACTGTGATAAATATTCTGTGTGTTTTTCGTTGGCACAGGATTGGAGCAAAGATGGGGTGACCCGTTTGCTATGAAGCTGAAACTAAGACTACCAGACCAGAACTTTCCACCAGAGTTTACAGCTGTGCTGTGATGTCTGCACCATATAGCCTAACACATCCATGTTTTAGCAAACATGCATCTTGGTGCGATTGGGGGGGGGGGGGGGGGGAAATCTTTCAACCTAGCTGCAATTCACAACACAATGCTTCACCAGCTCTGTTGGGCACACACAAAATAAGATGGGGAAGAATGAGCTAACAGTAGTCTGTGTTTGTCTGTTGACAGGGTCCCTATGTCTATGAGCTGTTCTCCATCATGATACATTCAGGCAGTGCTGCAGGAGGACATTACTATGCTTACATCAAGTGAGTTAACTACCTTTTTCCCCTCCTTAGTTTACATCTCCTTCGGTTAAAAAAAAAAAAAATCCAGAATGATGGGGTTTTATAATCATCATACTTTGTATGTCACATATAGTGTGAGTCAGTTCTTACATATCCTTGTCTCCGGTGCAGATTTTGATTATTGTGAAAAGCCCATTGTAGTGCATTAAATAAAATGATGTGTTTCATTGTTGGCTGTAATCAACATTTTAATTAACTTTAGTAAATTAATGAACTAAACTCTGAGCTTTTCTGTCAGCTTTTCAGACCAAAACTGTTGAGGAAAGATGAGAGAACACAGTGCGTAACAGTCGCACAGTTATGGTTGACATAATTTAGCAGGTCTGTTGCAGAACGTCGCTCTCACCATGGTCCGGCCAAAAGAAGCTTGGTCTCTCGCCAGCTGTTTCTACCCTAGGAGTCACTTTTATGCTGTGCCCATCTTCTTGCAGGTCAGCCCCTGCTCCTCTTTTCCAGTACTATGCTTTCTGCTGTTATTCTTTCCAATCTGGTGTGGCCTTTGTTGAGGCAAACATATTTTAGTTTCCAGACGACTTCCGTTTTCAAAATGGCGGACAGCAGCTGTGTTTATTGTCGCTGGCTGTCAATTCTCTCGGATTATTCTGTTCTATAATCATGGACTGCTATTTTATGCGCATTTCCAACGCAGGATATTATGTGTTTTTCGTGGGAACAGCGTGTATTGTGGTTGTGCTGTGTCGGGGCGGGATAATGACCGATAGTTTTGGCAGCCTCGACCACGCTGCCTTCGCAATGTTTTGATCGCGGCGGTCCACTCGGGAAGACAGAATCTCGTCAGCAGGGGACTGCAACTGTCTAGAGAGCAAACTCGATAAAAGCTGTCCCCAGAAACGGAATGTGTCAACCATATATTTGGTGGGGAGGAATCGACACATACCGGTTAACTCAATGGTCATGCGCAAATAGCTCAATTTATCCAATAGTAGGTACCACCACGTTGGGTAACAATCAAGTGAAAGCGGGACTCGCTCTCACATCTCAAACAGGTTTACCCTTAGCCACCAACAGCCCCGCGGCTTCCTGCATTGCTAGGGAAGGACAGGGTGTCACTTCTAACTGCGAGGACACACTTCCACCACTTGTAATCATGCAGTGGAACGCCGAAGGCGTATTTAACAAAAAGAGAGAACTAGAGGAACGCCTGCTGTTTCCAGACAAGATGCTGCTTACTAGCCAATCTTCTGAACATCAGCCATGGTTCTTCAACTTCTTTGTGTTTGGTTTTATATGGTCAGGTCAGATCGTCAAGTGGGTTGCCTTTGTGAATTTACATGTCACTTGCAGTTCCTTCGTAGTTCCCCACAGCTTGTTCTGTATACTTTGCTCTTAAGGCCAGCTTTCTTTTCAGAGTGTGAGTATAGTTGGCAGGCCTGCAGAATCTGTTCAGGTATGTGTGTTCCTATCTTACATGCACATTGTGGGGGGTTACTCTGTTCATACCATGGTTTATGCTGAAGTTTGTGTGTGTGTACACTTTAATGTGTCTGCAAACAGATTGGTAAATCCCTCAGTTATTTTGTCTACAAAGCTAACCCACTTCATCTGTTACCTTATGCCTGAGAAATCCTGAGCTGCAAAATCAGTGAGCCTTGAACAATACCACTCCCCCGAAGTCGGAGTACATCTGCCGGAGAGGCAGGGAATGAGGACTGCAAACAAATAAGCCAGTAAAACGGATATACACGCAAAACTCAGGTCAAGGTAAAAGCCAAAAGTCCATTTGGACGAACAACCGCAACTTACCGCCGGAATTCACAGCCGGTGAACGAGAAGAAGAAGAAGAAGAACAGTACCACAAGGCGCATCACCTGAATCAGTTGAGAGCTTATTCACCAATGGAAGTTGAAAGGCAAAAGAAGATGAACAATTAAAGACTGAAGTGTGTGCTACAATTTTTTTTCTGCATCACCCCTGAAGTTGTTTTTGCTCAGACTGACAGATTCTGATTTCATATATCATGAATTGTGTTTAAAATCTTGTCAGGTCTTTCAAAGATTGTTCATGGTACAGTTTCAACGACCAGCAAGTTACAAAGGTAATCTGAAAGCAGTTTTCATTATTTGATAAAACTAGTACTCACTTTAGCATTTATAGAAGCCTCTTTGGATGGTGGGAAATGCTCAAGTTCTCCTCCTGTGTTCCAGTAACGACTGACTGGCAAGCATAGCTTCTCTAGATTAGCCTCATGGGTGAGACACAACAGTGAGAAAACAGTGAGACACAACAGTGAGACACAACAGTGAGACACAGCAGTGAGACACAGTGGTGAGACACAACAGTGAGACACAGTGGTGAGACACAACAGTGAAGAAACAGTGGTGAGACACAACAGTGAAGAAACAGTGGTGAGACACAACAGTGAGACACAGTGGTGAGACACAACAGTTAGACACAACAGTGAGACACAACAGTGGTGAGACACAACAGTGAGACACAACAGTTAGACACAACAGTTAGACACAACAGTGAGACACAGTGGTGAGACACAGTGGAGAGACACAGTGGAGAGACACAACGGTGAGACACAGTGGTGAGACACAACAGTGAGACACAACAGTGAGACACAACAGACACAACAGTGAGACACAGTGGTGAGACACAACAGTTAGACACAGTGGTGAGACACAACAGTTAGATAAAGTGGTGAGACACAACAGTGAGACACAGTGGTGAGACACAGTGGTGAGACACAACAGTTAGACACAGTGGTGAGACACAACGGTTAGACACAGTGGTGAGACACAGTGGTGAGACACAGTGGTGAGACACAACAGTTAGACACAGTGGTGAGACACAACAGTGAGACACAGTGGTGAGACACAACAGTGAGACACAGTGGTGAGACACAACAGTGAGACACAGTGGTGAGACACAACAGTTAGACACAGTGGTGAGACACAACAGTGAGACACAACAGTTAAGCTGCAGTGTCCCATAAAACCAGCCAGGAAGGCTAACCCCGGCAGTAAATGCCTGCAGAAGTCTAATGTTGTGCCAGAAGGTGCAAATATCGCAGCAGTGTTGTTAATTGTGACATTATTAATGTCCTTGAGTGGACAAAGAGTAAGAAGTGGTAATTTATAAATTCTTGTGGTTTTCTTTATTTTCCTAATGTAAGACAGCAGTGACAGAGAGAGAGAGAGAAAGTTTTTTTCTGTTTGTCAGTGGAGCAGCCCTTTGATGCCTTGCAACCAACTGCCACAAAAAGCCAAGCTGAAGAAATATAGTGTACCCAGAACAAGGGGAAGACCATTCAGAAATGACGGCATCAAGAATAGCCATAAAGAAAAAAATGTATAATTTTGCAAAGCTTTAGAAAGAGTGGCTAGCCATTCAGCGGGGAGAGACCAAGCCACATTTGATCAAAACCTGGTGCAGTAAATTGATCCTCTCAACGTCACTTACAAAAAAAAACAAACAGCACACAGAATCGACTACTTACTTGACCAGCATGGAAGGACATAACAGACTTAACAAGCATATGCACAGGTTCCACCTGAGTGGTTCCCCATTGTTTCAATATGGGCTTTGTGTGCAAACTGCAGAACATGTCCTCCAAGAATGTCCTTTGTACAGCCCATTAAAAAGGGAATACAGGCCAAGTGAGTCATAGTTGTATGTAACTAAAGAAATTAAGTTATATCACTAGAGCTTATCTGTCAGTGTAAACCAGAGAGCGGTCACATGAAGAAGAAGAAGAAGAGAAGAAAGCACACATAATAAGATCCTTACCTCTTCCTCTGACACTTCCTCTGACAAAGAAGAAGCTTAAGCCTTTGTTTGGTGGTGGTGTTTCAGTTTGCTGGTAGTGTTTTGGTTTTCTGGTCAGGCTCTTTGCTGATAGTGATTTTGTTTGCTGACAGTGTTACGCTATAGTTAACTTAATTTCATTGACCTTGCAGATCACATATGACGACATCAGGAAAACATATGGCGGATCTACCTTCTCCAGGGGGTTTTACTCGTCTGCCTACACCAGGTATCTAACTCACTGTGTTATTTGTGATAGTGTATACTCTTGATTATCTTCGAACAATGGATTGTTTTCTTCTTCTTCATCTTCATGTTTACCAGCTGTAACTCATGTCAGAAAGTTGTGGGTGATCAATCTACCTTCAGACTCTAGTCTTATTTCTTGAGTGCATCCATTTTACAGATCTGGTTTTTTTTTTTTTTGTATGCAGACTATTGTTTATTGCCTGTCAGGCAGATGCACTCTGGCTTCGAAGGATGCCACCAGGTAGTGGCCTTGCAGGACATGCTTGTTGGGGAGGCAGTGGGTCTGTTCTTGTTTTCCCCACATGGGGAAAGTTGAGTTCCAAGACCTGAGATGGGTTCCTGGGCCCCATTTTGAGGGCCGGGGGTAAAAAGAATAGACCCACTGCCTCGCCAATAAGCTTGTCATACAAGGCGACTATTAGGGAATTTCCTTTTGGCGTTGGAGTGCATCTGCCTGAGAGGCAAGGAAGCGACAGCCTGCATACAAATACGGCAGATCTGTAAAATGGATGTGCATGCAGAATTCAAGTTCTGGAACAAAACCACAGTCCAGAAGTGGATGAACAACCAGAACTTTCCACAGGAGTTTATAGCCATTGAATGCCAAGAAGAAGAAGAAGAAGATTGTGAAACCAGGAGGCGCAGGTGCTGGACCACATGTGGTATTGCACCAGCGGCAGGACTGATACTGGTCAAGAACTGGCATCTCTGAGAGGTGAGGAATCGTCATCATAGAACTCAGGACTTTTTCCAGAAGCACTCCTTCCCCATCTTCAGCAGCCAGCGGAGAGTTCCAGCTCCAATAGTACCAGTAGTAGTCTGATTGTGTGTGACTGGCCATTCCTCTGAGGTGAAGTGACTGCCAGGAAAACTTTGCACTTCTTATTGCACCATTCTCTTCAGACCATGATGATCTGATTGTGTCTCCCTACTGTTCACTCGCTCCTGTTGTGTCTCCGCACTGTTCACTCGCTCCTGTTGTGTCTCCGCACTGTTCACTCGCTCCTGTTGTGTCTCCGCACTGTTCACTCGCTCCTGTTGTGTCTCCGCACTGTTCACTCGCTCCTGTTGTGTCTCCGCACTGTTCACTCGCTCCTGTTGTCTCCGCACTGTTCACTCACTCCTGTTGTGTCTCCGCACTGTTCACTCACTCCTGTTGTGTCTCCGCACTGTTCACTCGCTCCTGTTGTGTCTCCGCACTGTTCACTCGCTCCTGTTGTGTGTCTCCGCACTGTTCACTCGCTCCTGTTGTGTCTCCGCACTGTTCACTCGCTCCTGTTGTGTCTCCGCACTGTTCACTCACTCCTGTTGTGTCTCCCTACTGTTCACTCGCTCCTGTTGTGTCTCCGCACTGTTCACTCACTCCTGTTGGGTCTCCACACTGTTCACTCACTCCTGTTGTGTCTCCCTACTGTTCACTCGCTCCTGTTGTGTCTCCACACTGTTCACTCGCTCCTGTTGTGTCTCCGCACTGTTCACTCGCTCCTGTTGTGTCTCCGCACTGTTCACTCGCTCCTGTTGTGTCTCCGCACTGTTCACTCACTCCTGTTGTGTCTCCCTACTGTTCACTCGCTCCTGTTGTGTCTCCGCACTGTTCACTCGCTCCTGTTGTGTCTCCGCACTGTTCACTCGCTCCTGTTGTGTCTCCGCACTGTTCACTCGCTCCTGTTGTGTCTCCGCACTGTTCACTAGCTACCGTTGTGTCTCCGCACTGTTCACTCACTCCTATTGTGTCTCCGCACTGTTCGCTCGTTCCTGTTGTGTCTCCGCACTGTTCACTCACTCCTATTGTGTCTCCGCACTGTTCACTCGTTCCTGTTGTCTCCGCACTGTTCACTCACTCATGTTGTGTCTCCGCACTGTTCACTCGCTCCTGTTGTGTCTCCGCACTGTTCACTAGCTACCGTTGTGTCTCCGCACTGTTCACTCACTCCTAAAGAGCCTTGACATCTGGCTTTGAGCATAGAAGACACAAACAATAGAGTACACAGTTTATTTCCTCTAAAATTTTACTGTATCTTGTCAGGTGCATCCTATAGTAGTTCATTAAAATGATGCAAATAAATGAATCCTTCCAACTGAACCATAAAATCGACTACATTCAAAAACTGTCTCATTTTTTTGCTTCATTTTAATCAGTTGATGTTGTTGGCATCAATCTTGCCAGTTTTTACCAAGTTCTAAGGTCCATGTCTTCTCACAGCATGTTCTCCAAGTGTTGGTTCCAGGACCCCATTGTGGGGAAAACAAGAATAGACCCACTGCCTCCCCAACAAGCATGTCGTATCTTGTCAGGTGCATCCTATAGTAGTTCATTAAAATGATGCAAATAAATGAATCCTTCCAACTGAACCATAAAATCGACTACATTCAAAAACTGTCTCATTTTTTTGCTTCATTTTAATCAGTTGATGTTGTTGGCATCAATCTTGCCAGTTTTTACCAAGTTCTAAGGTCCATGTCTTCTCACAGCATGTTCTCCAAGTGTTGGTTCCAGGACCCCATTGTGGGGAAAACAAGAATAGACCCACTGCCTCCCCAACAAGCATGTCGTAGGGGTTGACTAATTGGGAGATACCTTTGAAGTCGTAGAACATCTGTCTGAGAGGTTAGGAACCAACAGTCTGCATACATTACAAATAAGTCAGATCTGTAAAAACAGATGTGCATGCAACACTCAAGTTCTTGAACACAACTAAAATCCAGAGATGGACAAACAGCCAGAACTTTTCACTGGAGTTTACAGCTAGTGAATGCAAAGAAGACGATAACGTCCAAAAAATCACTGCTGTCAACATCTCAACATATCACTTCTCAAATAATTTTACAGTCTTTGTCACTCTTGAGTAAGATTGTCTCATTTGTTTGTCTGTAATTTTTGAAATTCCTTGCATTTTTCTCAAACAAAAACCACCCATCTCCACTGTGAGTAAAAAATGTTTCTGCTTGTCCTTGTTTTTTTTTTTCTCTCTCTCAGTTTATGTAAATATATACACACACACAAACACACACACACGTGTATATATAAAAATTCTATATTTGTGCCCAAATGTACTCGATGAATGATATAGTCAGTGGAATTTTTTTTAATTGTACTGTTTTGTAAGCTGCTTGTGGCATCTTGTCTTTTTTTTTAAACATATGTCTGTTTCATACACATCTGTGTACGTGTTGGTGCAAGTATGGGTTAGAAAATGAAGCTGGTTTCTTTTTTCTCTTCACCTCGGATGTTTAGCTCCACAAGTGCTTACATGCTGATGTACCGACAGATTGATAAACAGTTGAATGCAGGTAAAGTAGTGTTTTGTGTTTGTGCGTATGCGTATGCATGCATCTTTGTGTGCATGCCGGGTGTGTGTGAATGTACATGACAGAAAGAGAGATAGATAGAGATAGTGGGGGGGAGGGGGGAGACTGTTAGAGGGAACATAGCATAAGAGAAGTTAGGGAAAGAGATGAAAGTAGAAGCACGTTAAAGGAGCAGAAGCCTAGCTTTGGCTTTTCTCACATTTTGCAACCATACAAATTATGCACTTACATATAAATACCATTTAAATAGGCAACAAGAATTGTTTTTTTTTTAAATATGCACTGAGCTAGTCCATGAAACTTATGTCTTCATTATTCTTCATGTTCGCTGGCTGTAAACTCTCGCAGAAAGTTCTGGTTGTCGGTCAACTTCTAGACTTTAGTCTTGTTCCAGAATTTGAGTGTTGGTTGCACATCTGTTTGAGAGATCTAGCTTATTTGTATGCATAATATTGGTCCCTTGCCTGTCGGGCAGCTGCAGTCTGACTTAGACGAAAGCCCCCAGTTAGTTTATTCTTATGTCATGCATGTTGAGGAGGCCACATCAAGATCCATGAAACGAACCCACAACCTTCAGAGCACTAGGCAAACAGCTTGACCACCTCACCACTGAGACCTCGATCTCTAGGATTTGATAACTTGCTAACATGCTCGTAATGTCTCTCTTCTCTTCTGACAGATTTTATGCACCCAGAAGATTTCCCAGACTCGCTGAAGGCAGAGTTTCAACATCAAAAAGACAAGGAGGACGCTGAGAGAAGGCAAAGGGAGATTGATAAGTCTACGTGTAAGGTAAATCTGGGTGAACATTTACTGTATGTGATAAGTCTACATGTAAGGTAAATCTGTGTAAACATTAACTGTATGTGATAAGTCTGCGTGTAAGGTAAATCTGGGTAAACATTACCTTTATGTGATAAGTCTGCGTGTGAGGTACATCTGGGTAAAAATACCTGCATGTGGTAAGTCTACGTGTAAGGTAAATCTGGGGAAATATTACCTGTATGTGATAAGTCTACGTGTAAGGTAAATCTGGGTAAACATTACCTGTATGTGATAAATCTATGTGTAAGGTAAATCTGGGTAAACATTACCTGTATGTGATAAATCTGTGTGTAAGGTAAATCTGGGTAAACATTATCTGTATGTGATAAATCTATGTGTAAGGTTAATCTGGGTAAACATTACTTGTATGTGATAGTCTATATGTAAGGTAAATCAGGGTAACATTACCTGTATGTGATAAGTTTGCATTTAAGGTAGATCTTGGTAAACATTAACTGTTTGTATATGTGGGTACAGGGCTCCCGGATTTAAATAGATGGGTCCACATTCTAGGCATGTCAGTTCTTTATTTTTTATTCACCTCAAACACAGGGAATCCCTTAGCTCCCTGGAAAATCCCGTTAGACAGGTGTTAGAGTTAGGGTTAGCCGGTGTTCATTTCAAACTGCGAAACCCCTATAATATTGGGCTTTCCAGGGAACGCCAGGATTCATAATGTTTAGGGTAAATACAAATGTAAAGAACCATCATGTCATAGTGGACATTAGAGTAGATGGGTCCACATTCTAGGCATGTCATAGTGGACATTAGAGTAGATGGGTCCACATTCTAGGCATGTCATAGTGGACATTAGAGTAGATGGGTCCACATTCTAGGCATGTCATAGTGGACATTAGAGTAGATGGGTCCACATTCTAGGCATGTCATAGTGGACATTAGAGTAGATGGGGTCCACATTCTAGGCATGTCATAGTGGACATTAGAGTAGATGGGTCCACATTCTAGGCATGTCATAGTGGACATTAGAGTAGATGGGTCCACATTCTAGGCATGTCATAGTGGACATTAGAGTAGATGGGTCCACATTCTAGGCATGTCATAGTGGACGTAGTAAAAAGTCCACATTTGAGCTATCTGATGGTGGACATTGAAATAGATGGGTAGCTGTGTTAGGCAAGTTCAGGTAAAAATTTAAGTAGATGGGTCCACATGTTAGGCAAGCAAGGGTAGAAATTTAGGAAGATGGGTCCACATGTTAGGCAAGCAAGGGTAGAAATTTAAGTAGATGGGTCCACATGTAAGGCAAGCAAGGGTAGAAGTTTAAGTAGATGGGTCCACATATTAGGCACGCAAGGGTAGAAATTTAAGTAGATGGGTCCACAAGTTAGGCAAGCAAGGGTAGAAATTTAAGTAGATGGGTCCACATGTTAGGCAAGCAAGGGTAGAAATTTAAGTAGATAGGTCCACATGTTAGGCAAGTTCAGGTAGAAATTTAAGTAGATGGGTCCACATGTTAGGCAAGCAAGGGTAGAAATTTAAGTAGATGGGTCCACATGTTAGGCAAGCAAGGGTAGAAATGTAGAAAAGAAACAATTTATATTTAGAATATAACCAGTGCTTTTAGTTAAATGGTAAAAATGGTAAACTGCTGCTTTACCACAGATTAATCTTTGCTTCTGATACAGACAATTGTTTCACAGATATACACTGTTTTGAAAACCCACTTATGTGTCACTGGACAGTCTTTGCTTCTGACACAGTTATTTCACAGACAGACACTGTTTTGAAAACCCTGTAATGTTTCTGCCATTGCACAATCTTTGCTTCTGACAGTTATTTCACAGATATGCACTGTTTTGAAAAACCTGTAATGTGTCTGCCATTGCACAATCTTTGCTTCTGACAGTTATTTCACAGATATGCACTTTTTTTAAAACCATATAAAGTGTTTGCCACAGCACAATCTTTGCTTCTGACAGTTATTTCACAGATAGACACTGTTTTGAAAACCTTGTAATGTGTCTGCCATTGCACAGTCTTTCCTTCTGACAGTTATTTCACAGATAGACACTGTTTTGAAAACCCTGTAATGTGTCTACCACTGCACAGTGTTTGCTTCTGACACAGTTGTTTTACAGATGTACAGTTTAAAAAAAAATCCTTGTAATATATTTGCCACAGATCAAACTCTATTGTTTCCATCCCCGTGATCAACACAAGATGGACACACGGCTGGAGGTTCACAAGGATAAAACTTTACAGGAAGCCACAGAAATGGCTAGAGAGGTTAGTCTTTCTTTGTTCTCTGTCACCCAGAATTGAAACTGGTACCAATTTTTGTCTGGGTTAAACTAGGAGCCAAGATCAGTTTGGGGAGGGAAAAAATCAATATAGTTTCTAATCAGGCCAAGAAGTGAGCATCTTGCCATTATGCACATGATAGTCCCATAGTCTGCCTGAGAGGAAAGGAACCAACAGTCTGCATATCTTCTTCTTCTTCTTCTGCGTTCGATATCAGTCATGCTAAACATTGAGTCCCGTCTGGGTCACAAATAGGATTGTGCGTTTAAGGTCGCCACCGGTCCCCCATAGCTTCTCTTGCAATGTGGCTCCTTTGGGCCAGATCCACAGTCTTTGCTGGGAGAGGTTAGGGCAGTACTGTAGTATGTGCTCAGGGGTCTGTCTTTCTGCTCCACAATCACAGGCAGCAGATTCTTTTATGCCTATCCTGTACAAGTGTGCTCGAAGACCACAGTGTCCAGTCCGAAGTCTAAAAATTGATGTTTGTTCTTTCCTGTTGAGTTTGTTTATGCTGTCACTCTCTGGTCTGTAATCTCCATTCTGCCTTCTCCACTCCCGTTGAAAGACTGCTTTAGCGCTGTTTTGGTTTCCTTGTAGCTGTGTGGTGGATGAGGTTGTGAAAGATTACTCCCAGCTTTTGGCAACTCATCTGCTTTCTCATTTCCTTTAATACTACAGTGGGCTGGTATCCACTGCAAGACCAGTTCTGCTTCCTTGGAGAGTAAGCCAATGTTGTTCCTTAGATCAGCAATTAGTTTGTCTTGTTTTTTGCTGGATAGTGCTTGGAGAACAGACAATGAGTCACTAAGTATAACAATTTGGTGCCTTCTGTGTTCTTGAGTGATGAGATGTTGGACTGCAGAGAGGGGGCAGTTGCCTCAGCTCTGAAGTTAGTGCAGATGTAACCTGCTGTTAGAGAGAGAGAGAGGGGAGAGAGAGAGAGAGAGAGAGAGAGAGAGAGAGAGAGAGAGAGAGAGAGAGAGAGAGAGAGAGAGAGAGAGAGAGAGAGAGAGAGAGAGAGAGAGAGAGTTTCTGCTTTCCTGCTAGGGGGTTTAATGTATATTCCACAACCCCCTTTCTGACGTCATCTATAGCAGATCCGTCGGTGAAAACCTGAGTCCAAGTTGTGTTTGGATACTTCTCATCAAGCATAGCAAGAGCCAGGGTTCTCTGTTGTGTCTCCGTCTGGGCATCTTTTGAAGTGATTCCTGGTACCTTTAGGACTACATTTGCTTTCTCTGGCTTGCTTGTCCATGGTTCTGGCCTAAGTTTTTCGCACAGTGCAACATCTGGTCTGCATATAAATAAGTCGAGGAGTGAGTGTATATTATTTTTAATCACATTCTATATGTTCAACTTCTGTAGCTGTTCCACCTGCAGTCACTGGTTCCGCTAGACTGCTGCCGGCTGGTCAAGTACGACGAGTACCAGGACTCACTGGAGAAGTCATTTGAAGGAGAGGAGAACTCAACAATCTCTGTGTTGTTGGATGGGGTCAAATCCAACTATTCCTTTGACCTGCTCCTGGAGACCAGAAAACCCAGCCAGACATTCCAAGAGTACAAGCCCGGAGGTGTGTGTTTAATTCCAGCTTTTTTTCTTTCTTTCTTATTATTTGTTTTAAATGAGATATGTGAGAAACATGGTCCAAGTGTGAAGAAGGGACAGAGTTCGCAACCAGACATTATGTCATAATCTAGAACTTGAGTGGATCAGTCATATTTACGTGGGGAGATCAAGAACCAGGAAAATGACCACCATGATGACTCAGGGTACACTGGGAAGACAACATCCGACAGTCCGTGACTGAAAGAGGACTGGAATGGAACAAAGCCAAAAAAGAAAACTGCTGACAGAAGCCTGGCAATCTCTCTAGCCAACTCTACACCCCAAGGTAGAAGGGGATTGACTTTAAGAACATGTATTTACTTTTGCCTAAACTAAGATGGTGTTTGGCCACTGGTTAAAAGAAGCATTTAGGACATGTCTACTACCCCAAGTGGGTTCCTTTAGGGATAGAACGAGAATAGTCCTACTGCCTCCCTACCAAGCATGTTATATGAGTTGACTGATTTGGGGTTTCCTTCAAAGTCGGACTGTATCTGCCTGAGAAGTAAGGAACCACAAGCCTGCATAGCAATAAGCCAGATCTGTGAAACAGATATGCACACAACACTCAAGTTCTGGAGCAAGGCTAAAGTCTGGAGGTGGACAAACACCAAGAACTTTCTGCAGAAGTTGACAGCCAGTGAGCACGAAAAAAAAGACCACTGGTTAAAAGATGCTTCATTAAGGCGCTTAGGAACACCTAAAAGTGCTCACTCACTGTCAGTATATATGGGGATGCTAAGTAGCCATGGTAGAGTAGTGGTTAGACACTACCCTCTTGTCCTGAATGTCTTGGGTTCAAGCAAATTGGTTTTCAATTTTGAAATTGGCTACCAGGTTAGCTGTGCCTCAGATGGGAAGTAAATGTGGTCGGCATAGTGTTGACCACATCACCAACCAATGCTGAAGTGGTAAGCACCATATGCCTGAAGCCCCTCTGGCATAAGAAGGCATCCGTGGGTGATGTCAGTATAACGCTTGCCGCCTTTACTTCCAAGGACACTTCCGAGGACATTATGTGGCTCCCAGGTTGACCCAGCCTTAAGTGGGTACTAGAAAAAGAGGTAAAGGCGACCTGCATGATGTTGCCCACATCTGAACCAAATGCCGTTTGGTCTGTGAAATATAGGTCAAGCCATATATTACCATAACGTCTGAAGGTGTGGAAAGTGATCCTTTACTTTTTACTTTACATTATTGTAGACAGTATAATGATTTACACCTGTTAAATGATGATTGATGGCAGGTAGGAGTTTTGAGGCTAATGTTTGTCCTTTGTGTCTGTCGGCAGGTGTGACAGTCAAGGTGTACCTGGTGGACATTAACACGGGCCTCATTCATCTCCCAGTCAACGTGAGGGCCTACCATGTCCAGACGATGGCCGAGTTCAAAAATCAGCTCCAACAGGTCTGTTTGGCTTCTTCTGTGTTCATCTGAGGGCTTTATGCTTTACAGCATGGTTGCAATATTTGTACTTTTCTCCCGACAGATCCAGCTTCTTGGTCAGTTTGTTGCCAGGGTTAACTGTTTAAGTCCCAGAAGATTTTGCTGCAGTTGTCCAAGAGGGATGTTAACATGAAAAAAAGGATGAATATATTAGTTTCAGACAAGTAAATACTATGCCAGATTTCTTTACTGCATTCAGACCAAAAGCGTATTGTATGTCATAGTTGGTTCCAGAGGTCGTTCCCAACTTTAAAAACCTGTAACTCAGTAACAATTTATTGTAAGTTGTTGAAATTTGGCATGCAATCTTTTAATCCACATGTCTTTGAGAAACTTAAAAAAAAAAAAAATAAAAACAAGCATCTACTTTTAATTTAGCCTTATTTGCGAAATCAGAAAAAACAGACACAGATTCAGAGGATACAGAATGCTTACGGGAACTTTTCAGAACATAAAATTGCATGCGTTTTACAGGCATTTCACTCTCAGGCGGTAATCTCCAGCATTAGCCTGCTGTGAGAACACTTTTTTTTCCCATTGTAGATGGTATATGCTGTCAAAATAATCGCCATACATCTATGCACATGTGAATTCATTTCCGAACAGTCTCCAAGTGTGCGTCAGATAGTGCAGTTCTGTGTTTTAAGGGTACATAAATTATTAGCCAAACAAAGAAATTTTCCGCTTTAAAAAAAAACAGCAGCACCTGTGCATCTGTAAATTATAAATCATGAGAACGTGTGAAATGTAAGGCTGCAAGCACACATTTGTGTTATAATCTGTTCTGGAGTTTTTGAGATATTTGTTAAAGTGTGAGGGCACGACCTTTGAAACGCTCTGTAACACATGCTGCGTTGTTTAAGGGCAGTAAGGGTTAAAAAGCTCTGTAGCACATGCTGCGTTGTTTAAGGGCAGTAAGGGTTAAAACGCTCTGTAGCACATGCTGCGTTGTTTAAGGGCAGTAAGGGTTAAAACGCTCTGTAGCACATGCTGCGTTGTTGAAGGGCAGTAAGGGTTAAAACGCTCTGTAGCACATGCTGCGTTGTTGAAGGGCAGTAAGGGTTAAAACACTCTGTAGCACATGCTGCGTTGTTTAAGGGCAGTAAGGGTTAAAACGCTCTGTAACACATGCTGCGTTGTTTAAGGGCAGTAAGGGTTAAAACGCTCTGTAACACATGCTGCGTTGTTTAAGGGCAGTAAGGGTTAAAACGCTCTGTAGCACATGCTGCGTTGTTGAAGGGCAGTAAGGGTTAAAACACTCTGTAGCACATGCTGCGTTGTTGAAGGGCAGTAAGGGTTAAAACGCTCTGTAGCACATGCTGCATTGTTTAAGGGCAGTAAGGGTTAAAACGCTCTGTAACACATGCTGCGTTGTTTAAGGGCAGTAAGGGTTAAAACGCTCTGTAGCACATGCTGCGTTGTTTAAGGGCAGTAAGGGTTAAAACACTCTGTAACACATGCTGCGTTGTTTAAGGGCAGTAAGGGTTAAAACGCTCTGTAACACATGCTGCGTTGTTTAAGGGCAGTAAGGGTTAAAACGCTCTGTAGCACATGCTGCGTTGTTTAAGGGCAGTAAGGGTTAAAACGCTCTGTAGCACATGCTGCGTTGTTTAAGGGCAGTAAGGGTTAAAACGCTCTGTAACACATGCTGCGTTGTTTAAGGGCAGTAAGGGTTAAAACACTGTAACACATGCTGCGTTGTTTAAGGGCAGTAAGGGTTAAAACACTCTGTAGCACATGCTGCGTTGTTTAAGGGCAGTAAGGGTTAAAACACTCTGTAGCACATGCTGCGTTGTTGAAGGGCAGTAAGGGTTAAAACGCTCTGTAACACATGCTGCGTTGTTTAAGGGCAGTAAGGGTTAAAACGCTCTGTAACACATGCTGCGTTGTTTAAGGGCAGTAAGGGTTAAAACACTCTGTAGCACATGCTGCGTTGTTTAAGGGCAGTAAGGGTTAAGCTGCTGCAGTTTTATCACGCAGCACATGCAGGATATGTTGTCTACCTTTTCTTCTGCGTCCTTCTAATCATCCTCATTTTCCTAATGCTGTATATTCTACTTCTTCATCCTCATGTATATTTCCCATCTTTTTTTCTGTTGTCCTCTATATCATCTTTACCCAATTCTTCTTCTTACGTTAAAAAAAACCCCCAAAAAAACACAATAAGATTCCAGCTTTCTGCTTTTTTCTATCGTCCCTCGCCCTTCACTCTCTCTCCTTGTTTTTTTCAACTACTGTGTTCCTCTTCTTCTTTATACCCCATTTCTTCCTTCTCTTTTTCTCTCACCTGCCGTCGTATCAAATTTGTTTCCTTCTTCAGCATCTATAGCAACCTGTAGCTGTTATTGTAATTAACTAATTTTAATCTTTAAGGATCACTCCATTATCAAAATTTTTATTAATTTTTTAAGGACCGGCCCATTATGAAATTATTAATTTATTCTTATTTATTAATCAGAATCAAATTATTAAAATAATAGATTGTGTTAAGGATCAGACCATTTAAGATAACCCGTTATCAGAGTAATAGTTGATTTTTTTTAATGATCAGTCTGTAATTATATTTAAACCAAAAGGTGGGCTGCGTGGTCTCGAGTTATGGCATCCACCTTGAGTGCTGGAGGTCCCGGGTTCAAACACGTGGACTTCTAGTAATTTCCCCCAGGCTCTGGGTAGTAAGTCTGGACCCCGGTGTGTATTGTTGCGCACATAAAAATTACCTTGGCAGTTAAGAATCGAAAAGAGAAGCCTTACAGAGCTGCCCGGGCACAATTTTAAGTTAAAAATCTACCCAAAGTATTTCAGGATCTTTGCCAGTGCTACAGAGTTCACGCACTGCGCTGAGTTTCTTCAGACTCTAGCTTGAATTAAAAGTAAAACGGAGCACTTATGGGTTACGCCTAAGTGCCATGATGTTGATCCGTCAACTAAAACTATATAAAAAAAAAAAAGTAATGCTAAGGTTCAGTCCATTCTCAAATGATTATTTTACTAAAACAGAAGTACATGCAACACTGAAGTCCTGGAACTAAAGTCCACTCACTGAGGAACAACCAGGACTTTCTAGTTGAGTTCACAGCTGGTGAATACAGAAGAAGAAGAAGAAGAAGAAGAAGAAGAAGAAGAAGAAGAAGAAGAAGAAGAAGAAGAAGAAGAAGAAGAAGACAAATGGAATGATAATACATGTAATTTTGTTCGTTTGCAGGTTTTAGGTTACCCTTCGGCTAAGATGAGATGTATTCTTGAAAAGTTCCCAAATGACCTTCGACCTTTGACAGACCCACAGAAGACTCTCAAAGCTGAGGGGTTTTACAAATCAAACAAAGTAGGTGCAGTTTTGAAATAGATCGTTCTGTATTTTCATAATTATTAGCCGGTTCTTTCGTAATATCCTACCCCAGATGACATAAAAGGGCAGTCCAACATTTTAGAGGGTGGTGTCCCGCCTCTCTGATGCTTTTACCGGTTCCCAAAACGTAGAACTGGCCCTAACCCCAACCCACCTACGTCCCACGAGAGAGTGCAGCCTAGGTCCCATGACCTCATGCAGCCTATCCACCACCCCCTGAAATATTAGTGTGTCCCGTGACCTGTGGATTTCCCCTGTTTGGGGTATGATATTAAGAAAGCACCTATTAGCCTCCACCAAGAGGCTGATTGGCACCTTTCAATTTGTACAGATGATAGTGTTATATTGTACTATGAGGAGGCATGGGACTTAACAGCCGATGGCGAGTGTGACTAGCACGACACGCCCCCGTTAAGAAATTATAGCATGGGATTTCAGAACAGTTGTCAGCATTTGTGTTTAGTCTGTTTCCTCTCAGATGCTCAGCTCTCCTCCTTTGTGCAGTAATTTCTTCCTTCATTCTGATTCCCTTCCTGATGTACCACCTCCACACATCACAGTCCATGGCATTTTGTTCCCACAAGTCCACCTAAATACCTGTATCATTCATGTCCTGTTTGCACACATCTTTATATTATAGTAGAGGTCAGCCTCGACATCTTTAACCCATCTTTAATTCACAATAAAGGATGTATCCAAGAAAGTCAGATAAACTGTTCTTCCCAACACTTGCTTCATCACCTCTCTGAAAAGAGACAAGGTATCAGACTAAGGAAAGGACATTACAGATATCACCAACACATGCTGAAGGTTATCAGTGTAGAAAACATGAGAGATGGGTCTCTGCAGTTTGGCATCAGAAAATACTGAGAATATACTGCAACACTGTCAACTGTAAGCTGCTCACTGAGAGGCAGTCTGTGTCTTTTCCTACCTCTTTCAGTACAAAGCAGTAGGGTACATCGAGAGATTTGGACTGCACATTAGATTTCATCAAGAAGAATTGAAGAAGAAGAAGAAAATAATAATCATCAGTTGTCATCCCACATCTAATGACTCTCTGTCCTGTTTTGTTGTTGTTATTACATTCTTTAAAAAATAACCTCATTTTCATGTTTTACAGTTGTTTACATTTTCCACAAATTTGCTACAATTAAGCCAGTTTAATTTTATGTGTTGTCAGTTTGTGAGTGAAAGATGGATAAGAAGAGGGCTGATGACTTCACCTCACAATGCAAGAACCATGAGATACTTTTGGGTAGTAGTGATTTACTAGAGATGAGGTGTGGAGAGGCAGAATTACCCGTCGTCTTCTTATAAAAATGTAAATCTTTGCATGACTTCGCTGGATATGGTCAGGGCAGTTTAGGAGCAGGTGAACAATGCAGATGCATGAAGTGATCATTAGGGTGTGGGGAGATTAGTGCAGCAGGGGATCCAGGGATACTTGACACTCAGCGGAAAGGCAAGATGAACATACAACCAGATTGCTGCTGGGAACATTTGAAGTAAAACCCTTCACTGGCTGCTTAAGATGAGGACGAAGCGCTTATGGGAATGTTTTGAGTGCTGTGTTCTTAGCTTAACACTCAACACATCATCCTGTTACCCTTTTATTAAAGTCACATGAGGCTCACAGTCTGTTCATCCAGTCTTTTTTAAATCCTATGCAATCCTTCCAATATCTTAGATAGAATCCAGTCCATAACTTTTGGACATGATTTCCTAAGACTAAAATTAAAAATTCATATATGCTGTCTGTTATTGAATGTGCTCATGTCATAAACATACGTCATCCAGGTATTTGTAGAGGCCTCAGGGGATGAGGTGGAAAACTCCTTGCCGTACCCAGAGACACGGCTGTGCCATTTACTTGACCAGTACCAACACACAATCCGAGTGACCTGCTATTTGCCAAGTCAACGTGAGTCATTCATTTTATTATAAACATTATATTATGTAAAATCCCACTGGGGCCCCAGTTTAGGAGAAAAGCAAAAAATAGACTCGCTGCCTCCCCACTTCCTGCCGGCAAGCATGACCTATAAGGCAACTAGCTAGAGGTTTGCTGAAATAAGATTTGTTTGGCTGAAAGGCGCAGATATGGCATCCTTGATCAAAACTGTGTCACTTTCTATGCAGCTTCTGGGGAACTATTTTTGGGGAGGACAGAATAGACCCCCTAGCAAGAATGTCCTAACTGGTGACTTATTTGGGGTGTGTGCTTTAAAGGTGTGGGGGGGGGGGGGGGGGGGGGGCGCTAAGTGGTCTCTAGGTATGATGTCCGTCTCAAATGCTGTAGGTCCTGGGCTCGAGCCCTGATTTTTCACGTAGACTTCTAGTAATTTTCCCTGGTCTTTGGGTAGTAAGATATCACGCCTGTGTATATTCTAGCGCTCGTAAAAAATCCCTTGGCAGTTGAAAATCTAAAAAAGAAGCCTAGGGGCGCTGCCGGTCCAAAATTTGGAGTAAAAAATCTACCCAAAGTATTTCAGGATCATCGCCAGTGCTACGGAGTTCGTTCACTGCTCTGAGATTCTTCATACTCGGGCTTGAGTTAGAAGTAGAACGGAACACTTATGGGTTACACCCATGATGTTGAACAGTCAAATAAACATAAACCTTTAAAGTCATAGGGCAACTGTAACTCTGTTTATCATCTGTATTCATTTGTTTAAGCTGGTTCTACTCATCGATGCAAAGTATTAACATCATCTTTTGTGGTCAAGTGTCTGATTGACACATGCTATCATATATCTCGATGTACAACAAATTTAAGATTGGCCAATCGGCCATGTGTACTTGTGGACTGGCACCTGAAACAACAGATCACATCCTTCAAGACTGTCCCATATTCAACGCTTTCAGGCAAAACATTTGGCCAAAAGAGACACTTGTGGAAGTCAAACTTTACGGGCCGCTTAGTGAATTACAAAAGACAGTGAAATTCATACAAGAGACGGCTTTGCAGATATAGACAATTTATTTCATGCGAACGAAAGAAGAAGAAGATATATTTCGATGCTATGCATGCTCTCTATGGGGGTTTTGAGAAAATCAAACATGTTCTGGATCCTCTATCCAGCAGCCAGCAACCAGATTTGTCAAATACATGTACATGCAAAACTCAAGGCTTGGAACAAGACCACAGAAAAAGGACAAACAACCACAGCTGTCCACCAGAATTTACAGCCGGTGAATGCTCAGATAAAAAAAGAAATGACAGCACAGTGGGTCAACCAGCCCTTTAAGGTTGAAGACAGAAAAATAAAAATAAATGTAAAATGTTTCATTTACTCGTTTTAGCATTGTAATGAATGACAAGAAAAACAAAAAATTAGCCAAGCTGTCTTAGAAGAAATTAACTCACAAAGAGAACTGATTACATACATCAGAAGGAGACAATCTGCAATCTTTTGTCATATCATGAATAGGAGACAATCTGCAATCTTTTGTCATGTCCTGAGGAGGAGACAATCTGCAAGCTTTTGTCACGTCATGAGGAGGAGACAATCTGCATTCTTTTGTAATATCCTGAGGAGGAGACAATCTGCAATCTTTTGTCATGTCATGAGGAGGAGACAATCTGCAATCTTTTGCCACGTCATGAGGTGGAGACAATCTGCAATCTTTTGTCACATCATGAGGTGGAGACAATCTGCAATCTTTTGTCACGTCTTGAGGAGGAGACAATCTGCAATCTTTTGTCACGTCTTGAGGAGGAGACAATCTGCATTCTTTTGTCATATACTGAGGAGGAGACAATCTGCAATCTTTTGTCACGTCTTGAGGAGGAGACAATCTGCATTCTTTTTTCATATACTGAGGAGGAGACAATCTGCAATCTTTTGTCACGTCTTGAGGAGGAGACAATCTGCATTCTTTTGTCATATACTGAGGAGGAGACAATCTGCAATCTTTTGTCACGTCTTGAGGAGGAGACAATTTGCATTCTTTTGTCACGTCTTGAGGAGGAGACAATCTGCATTCTTTTGTCACGTCTTGAGGAGGAGACAATCTGCATTCTTTTGTCATGTCATGAGGAGGAGACAATCTGCAATCTTTTGTCACCTCATGAGGAGAGGACAATCTGCATTCTTTTGTCATGTCATGAGGAGGAGACAATCTGCATTCTTTTGTCATGTCATGAGGAGGAGACAATCTGCAATCTTTTGTCATATACTGAGGAGGAGACAATCTGCAATCTTTTGTCACCTCATGAGGAGGAGACAATCTGCATTCTTTTGTCATATACTGAGGAGGAGACAATCTGCAATCTTTTGTCATGTCATGAGGAGGAGACAATCTGCAATCTTTTGTCACGTCTTGAGGAGGAGACAATCTGCATTCTTTTGTCACGTCTTGAGGAGGAGACAATCTGCATTCTTTTGTCACGTCTTGAGGAGGAGACAATCTGCATTCTTTTGTCATGTCATGAGGAGGAGACAATCTGCAATCTTTTGTCACCTCATGAGGAGAGGACAATCTGCATTCTTTTGTCATGTCATGAGGAGGAGACAATCTGCATTCTTTTGTCATGTCATGAGGAGGAGACAATCTGCAATCTTTTGTCATATACTGAGGAGGAGACAATCTGCAATCTTTTGTCACCTCATGAGGAGGAGACAATCTGCATTCTTTTGTCATATACTGAGGAGGAGACAATCTGCAATCTTTTGTCATGTCATGAGGAGGAGACAATCTGCAATCTTTTGTCACGTCTTGAGGAGGAGACAATCTGCATTCTTTTGTCACGTCTTGAGGAGGAGACAATCTGCATTCTTTTGTCACGTCTTGAGGAGGAGACAATCTGCATTCTTTTGTCATGTCATGAGGAGGAGACAATCTGCAATCTTTTGTCATATACTGAGGAGGAGACAATCTGCAATCTTTTGTCACCTCATGAGGAGGAGACAATCTGCATTCTTTTGTCATATACTGAGGAGGAGACAATCTGCAATCTTTTGTCATGTCATGAGGAGGAGACAATCTGCAATCTTTTGCCACGTCATGAGGTGGAGACAATCTGCAATCTTTTGTCACATCATGAGGAGGAGACAATCTGCATTCTTTTGTCATATACTGAGGAGGAGACAATCTGCATTCTTTTGTCATATACTGAGGAGGAGACAATCTGCATTCTTTTGTCATGTCATGAGGAGGAGACAATCTGCATTCTTTTGTCATGTCATGAGGAGGAGACAATCTGCAATCTTTTGTCACCTCATGAGGAGAGGACAATCTGCAATCTTTTGTCATGTCATGAGGAGAGGACAATCTGCAATCTTTTGTCATGTCATGAGGAGGAGGAAACTGGAATATATTATGATGGGTGAGACAGTTAGAGGAAAAAAAGACGCAGAGGGAGACAGAGAATGGCATGGATGAGAAATGATTAAAAGTACATGAGTTAGAAGGCTGTGGATAGACGTAACTACCACTGCCTCATAGGCATGGACTGTAGGAAGAAGTAACTTGTAACTTTAAAACATGAATGGTGTTTTAGCTGAACATGAGGGGAACTTTTTTCCTTTTGTTTTTTTCACAGTTTTTTTCTTTTTCTTTTTCTTTTTTTCCAGGGATGAAAAAGAACCTTATTGGCTCATTTAGTCTTTCCCCTTCTGCATTGGGGTATAGAGATACCACATTGTCTTGAATGTTCACTCTGTCCTCATCTGCCCTTGGACACATAGACAGGTCCTCATCTGCCCTTGGACACATAGACAGGTCCTCATCTGCCCTTGGACACATAGACAGGCACTTATATGTTGTCACACTACTCCCAGTGTAAAGTGGATCAGTAACTCAACTGTTGTTACACTGCTCCTCCCAGTGTGAAGGAGGATAATCAATTATCTGTCATTACACTTCTCCCAGTGTGAATAAGGATGGTCACTTATCTGTCGTTACACTTCTCCCAGTGTGAATAAGGATGGTCACTTATCTGTCGTTACACTTCTCCCAGTGTGAATAAGGATGGTCACTTATCTGTCGTTACACTTCTCCCAGTGTGAATAAGGATGGTCACTTATCTGTCGTTACACTTCTCCCAGTGTGAATAAGGATAGTAACTTATCTGTTGTTACACTTCTCCCAATGTGAATGAGGATAGTCACTTATTTGTTGTTACACTTCTCTTCCCAGGGTGAACAAGGATAGTCACTTATCTGTTGTTAGACTTTGTCTCCCAGTGTGAAAGATGATGGTTACTTTTTTGTTGTTAGACATCTCCTCCCAGTGTGCATGAGGATAGTGATTTATCTGTTGTTAGGACTTCTCCTTCCATTGTAAACGAGGATAATCACTTATCTGTTGTTAGACTTCTCCCACTGTAAAAGAGGCTCAGTAACCTATCTGTTATTTAACTTCTCCTCCCACTGTAAAAGAGGCTCAGTAACCTATCTGTTATTTAACTTCTCCTCCCACTGTAAAAGAGGCTCAGTAACCTATCTGTTATTTAACTTCTCCTCCCACTGTAAAAGAGGCTCAGTAACCTATCTGTTATTTAACTTCTCCTCCCACTGTAAAAGAGGCTCAGTAACCTATCTGTTATTTAACTTCTCCTCCCACTGTAAAAGAGGCTCAGTAACCTATCTGTTATTTAACTTCTCCTCCCACTGTAAAAGAGGCTCAGTAACCTATCTGTTATTTAACTTCTCCTCCCATTGTGAAAGAGGATCAGTAACATTCCTCTTGTTACACTTCTCCTGCCATGTTAACCTGGAGGAATTGGGAAGTTGTATATACAGTTGCATAAAAACATGTCTGTTTTTGTTTTCCCAGGAGCGGTTGAAGAGTACCAAGCTTCATTGAAAGAAGTGCAGACCAGATCTCCACTCACGGGAGAACATCCCGGACCTCACCTATACTCCAGCAGGACACTGTCTTCGCTGCCATCTCCCCAGATCAACGCTGGAGTCTCTGAGTTGTCACAGCTGGATGAAGGCATCAGTGAAAATGACTCTGCTTTCTACAGCGGGGGAACAAACTCCAAGCACTCGCTGGCGGGCTTTGAGCATGGGTCGAGTTTCTCTATCAGCAGCACTGCTGTCAGCGACACTCGAGGTGTGGGAATGTTGTCTAACCTGTCGCATAAAGCAGGTGGTCCGGCGGCTTCGTTTGAGGAGGACCTGGAGAATGGGCTGGACAAGAGCGACACACCAAGGCTGATCAGCGATTGCGAAGAGTCCCAGTCTAGTGGTATAGGTGAGCACTCCAGGAGGGTGAGGAATCACACCCCGTGCTCATCCCGACCCCATTCGTCCTCCCACGAACATTTAACAGTGGACATGGCACATCTCTGTCATAAACTGTCTTCGACTGGCTTGACCAGTTCGCGCAGTGACCCGTCCATCTACCACACCTGTGCTGATCATAGTGATGATTCTCTTCAGTGCTTGGGTTCGGGTCCCAGCATGGGGAGCCAGGACACTAGCACCAGTGCAGAGTTCAACTTTGGGGGGTCAGGTCCCGACCCCGACCCAATTCTGTCTTCTCCAGAAGACGGGTACGGATTTGAGGATGATAATGAGAATGAGAAGGAAAACGAGATGGCACCGGTGAATCCACGGACATTAGGCAGTGGGCGAAGAAGTGGTATAGTCATTCATGATTTAGACTTAGCACCAATCAACAGTCAGTTTCACACTCTCAGTTATTCCGCTCAGTTCCCCATTGGTAATTTTCAACCCGAAGAAGACTGGGACAGAGAAATTGAAATTGATCAGGCTCAACAGTCTAGCCATAGTTCTTTCCCTCCTTCCTCATCACTTCCTCATTCCTCTTGGAGTTTTCCTCCCGACCGTGAAAACACCACGTCACATTTGTATTCTTCTCCTGCATACGAGAACGCAGACAATTTAGAGGTTGATTTAAGTCGAGCTAAATACCAGCCGCCTCCACCACCACCTCCTCCTCCTCCGCCACCACCACCGCCTCCCTTAAAGTTGAATGAGCGGAGCAGCTCCAAGAAAGCTTTGGTCTCCAGCAAGCAGAACAACAACGAAGATGAAGTGGAGGAGGAGGAGGAGGAGCAGGAGGTAAAGAGGTATTTCCATGCTGTGTTGATTGAAACTTCAGAAACTGAAGAAAGAGGTGAGTTTCTTGTAATTTGTCTCATTTTTATTGTTGGGCGTAGGTTGGGGGGGGGGGGGGGAGGGGGGAGATTGATTTTATTACAGGCCCAAGGGAACTGCTATGGTTAAATGGCTAGTCATTCACCTGCGTATCCAAAGGTCGTGAGTTAGAATTCGCATTAAGCCCTATTTTTTAAGACATGACCTTGGCTCTCAGGTCGACCCAGCCTTGTTGTTGTTGTTATCGATCCAGCGGCGCAAGAGCTTTCGCCCTTTGGCCCAATGCCATGTAGTGGAATTTGCATGTTTTCACAAGCTGTTCTTTTCCTCCGTACAAGGTGTTCCACTTGTCTAGTCTCGGAGGGAGTAGCGTTCTTCTTGTCTCACTGAGTTATGGGCACTCAAAGAGATGGTGTTCAACAGTTTCGTAGGGGTAGTTACATAGCTGGCACTCTGGGGAGTGTTGTGGCTGTATTCTGTTTAGGTGTCCATTGAGTGGAGTGTGTTGCGTTCTAAGTCTGAAGATGGTGGCCTGGTCCCTTCTTGTTAGATGGTTAATGCTGTCATTAGGATCAGGGCCAGACATATGTCTATACACCTCTCTTCCAGTGTCTCCCATGGCCCATCTGTTTAACCAAGTCTCTTTGTTTATAGCTCTTTTCAGTGTTTTTGCTGTCTGGAGACAGCCTTAAATGGGTATCAGTAAGAAGTCTCGGGAAGTAAAAGTGGCCAGCGTGAGGTTGACCATATCACCTATCGAGGACCGACAGCCTCATATCTCTGATACACCATGGGTGTTTAAGGGACCTTAGGTCGGTAGTTTTTACTCTTCCAATACTGCAGTCCGCAGGATAAGCACCTTCTAGGATGAGAATCAAAAGATGTTGAATCCTCTGGAAATTGTAATTTTGTGACGTTGGAGTTACCAGATTTTAAATGTTTTTATTTCTTTGTTTTGTTAACGAAACAATTTTTCCTTTTTTTTTTGGTGGAGCGTAAACGGGTTGAGAAACACTGTTCTAAACTCTGTGAAAGGCTGGCCTTTAGCCAGTATTTGCTATAGGGTTAAAACAAAAAAATATGCAACTTCTTATATCCACAGTTTTAGCCTCTTTTGTCATCACTCATTCTCTCTTTATGTTCCAGCCATTTCAGTCTGTTAGATCTTGTGATGCCAGTGAAAGGTGGTGATTTAAACAGATTATGATATTCATTGTCATTGACCAATATCAACAAACACTGAAGAATTGAGCTGAGCGCATTTGTGTTGAATTAAGTACGGAAACAGCACTCTGGATATTCCCATAAGCGCTTCATCCCTACCATCAGCCGATGTGTGAAAAATGATCTTTACTTATTTTACTTACTTTTTAATCATACTTAGCCCTCCTCATCCTTCTTTTTTCTTCACTTTTTTCTTTTACTTTCTTATTCTCTTTCTTCTTCTTGCTTCTTCTTCTCTTTCTCCGCCTCCTCCTCCTCCTCCTCCTTCTCCTCCTTCTTCTTCTTCTTCTTCTTCTTCTTCTTCTTCTTCTTCTTCTTCTTCTTCTTCTTCTTCTTCTTCTTCTTCTTCTTCTTCTTCTTCTTCTTCTTCGTCTTCTTCAATGGACACAGGTCATGATCATTTTTAATCTGTAGGAAAATAAAAAAAAATGTCTTTTTAAATTTCATTAACAAAATTAAAACAAACGTGTACCTTTAATTCTCTGAAACTCTACCATAAGAAACTAGAAGAAGGGAAGGAGAAGCAGAAGAATCTTTGTGTCTTGGACAATGTTTCTAATTATCTAGGGATTCGAACCCCTAACCACTGAACAGACAGACAGGGTTCTAGGGCCCTGTTATAAGGAAAACAAGAATAGACACCCTGCCTACCCAAAAGCATGACGTAAGAGTCGACTCATTGGGTGCTTCCTTCAAAGTCAGAGAGCATCTGCCTGAGAGGCAAGGAACCATCAAAACATAAAAAGAGCATTTATCTCCACTTCCACATGGGCTTTAGAGAAAAAGAGCGTAAATGGGCACAAAAACAACTGGGCGGGTTGGTTAAAAGGGCTTCGAGCTGGCTTTGGACGCAACAAAACGTCATGGGAGATAGGCCTCTGTAGACTGGTGTGAACCCCTAATGGAAAGGAACTTTACATCCATTTAAAACCAAAGTGTCTGATAAAACTTCTGCCAGCGTCTCTCTAACATTTGCCAGAGTCTAACGTCTGTTCGATGAACTAACCGCCGCAAGCTTGTCACTTTGGTCGTGTAGGTAGGCGGTTAATTTGCTACTGCAGCGACACACACACACACACACACACACACACACACACACACACGGGCGTGCACGCGCACACACACGCACACACACAGATATATATATATATAACACCAAAGCTCATAATACCAGTTGAAAAACTACCTTTTTGTCTTGTCTGATCGTTCGCAAGCCCAGCAAACAAGTCCGTGGCCTAGGAGTCATGAACTGGGTCGGCCCACCTTCTGAGATTGTCTAGGGAGTAGTGGGTGGAAACAATCATCAACAAGGGATATTTTACTGAAGAACGGAAGACTCCCGCTGTGAATGCTTCCACTGTGGAGTTCTTCTTATTATTCCTTTTTCTGTGCTGCCCTTTCCTGGCTGTAATAGTTTTTGCATTATTGCGAAACTGTCGTAGCCTCTTTTAATCGTTTCACCTTCATACTTAACCCCCCCCCCGTAATAATTTAACCTTCACTAATATAATAATTCTCCGCTGCATTATTGTTGTAATTTCTCCAACTTTACTGTTACTGCTTCTCCTTATTGTTTTTATTTATCCCTGTTCAAATAATTTTTCCCTTAGTGTAATATTTTCAAGTAGAAGCTTCACATATTTTGATGTGTTCATGTGTGCTTATGTTTCAGTGTTAAATGTATCTGTTGATAAACGAATCACCCTTGGGGCTTTCAAACGACAGCTGGAACCTTACATCGGAGTAGTGTCAAATCTCTTCAAGGTACTGCACTCTTGTTTTATATCACTCTAGGTCAGCGGTTCTCAGCCCGTGGGTCGCTACCCTTTTAAAAAAAAAAGTTTCAATGACCCTTTCACAGGGGTTGCCTAAGACCATTGGAAAATACATATTCAGTGATGTTATGAAATAGCAGTGAAAATAATTTTATGATTGGGGGTTGCCACAGCATGAGAAACCGTATTAAGGAGTCACAGCTTTAGGATGGTTGAGAACCGCTGCTCTAGGTTTGTGCCAGATTTGGAAATCTGGCTGAGTGGTGTTGATGATGTCAATGGAAAGTTGCTGAAGGAAATACAGACAAGTAAAATGTAAAGGACATATCAACACTTTTATAAAAACCATACTGGAGGGGAAATGTTGAAGGCAAACGAGCAAAAGGCAGGTGGAAGAATAACACCAAAAGGTGGAGAACAGCAGTCTGAGAGATGTACATAACAGTATAAGATAATGCATGTTCTAGTTCCATTGCAGCTAATTCTCATTGTGGAGATGGCACTTGACTGATTGATTGTAATTATAGTTACTTTCAGAGAAGCCATACACAGTGGAAGTGGCCTAATTTTGTTTTTAAAGTTTTCTGTGACCAAATATTTAAAAAAAGTAATAACACATTATCTAATAAATGGGATTCAAATAAAAGAGCTTGTCAGACATCACACATTGAATATAACTGAAAGTGGGAAGGTAAGCATGTGTCCTGACAACTGTTTAATGACATGATCACTGTTGCAGGTATACAGGGTCTACTCCAACAGTCAGGAGTTTGAGAGTGTGCGGTTGTCCGACACCCTGTCATTCTTTGAAGATGGAAAGGTAGGTCCTTTTTCAGCATTCCTACCTCTTGAGATCCTCCTCCTCCTTCTTCTTCTTTGTTCACAGTCTGTAAGCTCCTGTAGAAAGTCCTGGTTGTTCGTCCATTTAGTCTTTTGCTTTGTGCTAGGATTTGAGTTTTGCGTGTACATCCGTTTAACTAGCTTATTTGTGTGCAGTTGTTTGTTCCTTGCCCCTCGGGCAGATGCACACTGACTTTGAAGGAAGTCCCCAATTGGTCTACTCCTACGACATGCTTATTGGGGAGGCAGTGGGCCTATTCTTGTTTTCCCTACAACGGGGCCCCAGAACCCACACGAGGATCTTGAGATCCGTGGCTCCGGACATCATCCACCTCTGTGCATCTTTGTGATTGGCCCTGTGTTTTTTACTTGGTGACTCCAGGTGTGTGTAGGTCTGTCTATATATTATCTCTCCCCTGTCTACTTGTTTTCACTACTAGTCACCACTTTAATAGTTCTTTGCCTCATTTGGTGAGGATAATGAAAAGGTCCCGCCCGTGACAAGAGAGAAGCTCAACATATGGATATGAGGTTAAGCTGTCATGTGTAGGACGTGACGATTCCGTGTGTGTGTGTTGGCTCTGCATTTATGGAAGCCTCTTTGGATGGTGGGGTATACCCATGATCTGCCCCTGCCTTTCTTTGAGGGCCGACCAAGCTACACGCCGTTGCCTTATTGAGTTTTCCAGGGATAACACCCAAAAATAAAGGGACAAAGAAGACACCTCACAAATAGGACTATATCTTTCTCACTAAAGAAACCAGGAAGGTTAACCCAGGAAACAATGCCCGATAAAGCTGGATGTGTCGGCCATAAGGGGCAAATATTGCAGCTATGCTGCAAACAGGCACAAGGCAATTACCTCACTCAGATAAATTGTATCAGGGAGACATCATCACTTGTTTGTTAGGAGGCAGTCTCATGGACCCGCGCGGTTGTGGAGATGTCAGCTCAACACTAGAGGAACAGGAGCCAGTCACAAGGAGCCTGGAAGACAGACACTAGAGAGGAGACATAAAATGACACATCAAACTACAGAGGCAACACACAAGATACACGGATCCATTGTTAACAGACACATTAGACAGAAACACTATTATGGAGATGTAATAGTCAACGGTCGGCTCTGTGCCTAAGTCGATGCGAACACTTCGTAATGCCTGGATGCCGGGTTCGATCCCAGCTGCGGGCCATGCGCCTTGCGTTGGTTTCGACAGTGGTATCAAGAAAGCCGACCATCCAGAAAGCAATGGCAAACTAATTAAATTTGCCTACAAAAACCACACAACAGCCACACAACAGCCAGGGGCTGTTGGGGTTGGTTCTGCAACGTCCTGTAAAGGATACGCAACTAACCTTAATAGTCAACGATCAAGCCGTTACTACCGGACAGCACTAAAAGCAAGGTGGCAGTTACAGACTCTAGAGCCAGTTAGCAAAGTACCTAGAGATGAAGAACACAACGCGACCTTAAGAGTATGTAACCGTAGAGCTAAAACAGCGGCAATTCAGAATATCATTGAAGTTGTTTGTGACATTATTGAATTATCACAATAATGGCAGTTTGGAAAAGGGTTGTTTCAAGACATTTTATTATACAAGCATCAGAGTCAGGTAAAAAGAATGAAATAAGCAGAAATTATAATCATCACCACTATCGACACGACCATCTTTCTCCTCGTCTATACCCTTCCAATTGACTCCTCATGTAGCAAACTAAAGATGAACCTAGGTGTGACATCAACATAAGCAAGGAAGACAGCTGTGCTACATAGGGGGGAGGTAGATTTTGCAAAGAAGACAGCTGTGCTACATAGGGGGTAGGTAGATTTTGCAAAGAAGACAGCTGTGCTACATAGGGGGGGGGGGGGGGGAGGTAGATTTTGCAAGAAGACAGCTGTGCTACATAGGGGGAGGTAGATTTTGCAAAGAAGACAGCTGTGCTACATAGGGGGAGGTAGATTTTGCAAAGAAGACAGCTGTGTTACAAAATGAAGATGAAGAAGATTTGGTGAGGATTTTATTTTGTCGACATTAACTCCTTCGGTACCAGAGAGTTTCACATAAGATAGCAAAATGACAAAATAATCATGATTCCAGATCATGAATACTTTACTTACAAATTGACAATATACATAGTTGTTGTGGCCATTGAGGAAAGCCAGATTTATCTAGTATAATCTGATCAAATGGAAAAAGTAAGAGAGCATATTATACTTTAGAGGGGAATCAAGGGGTAAATTTTTTTAACACACTGGGCATTGCCTGGCACTGAAAGAGTTAATGTCTAGCTCAGATGTCTTATGTTACAACTTGGAAAGAAATTTGTTCTGTAAATGGCACTCGTGTTTTATTTTCAGTTTAATATAAAACTGGGCCGAGCTCTGCGATCCGGCGAACATCGAGTAAAGGTTTATCAGCTCTCAGTTAACGATGCAGAGGTGAGTAGTTTGACCTAAATAGTCATTAGAATAAGAAACAGATTAACAGGATAACTAATTGACCCTGGAAGCAAACTGAAGAAAGTCATGAACCTGGAAATGCTTGGTGCCCCCCCCCCCCCCCCCCCCCCACAAAGGTTCAGGTGGGGTATCCTTAAAAATGACTAATCTGAAAATAAAAAAAAATAAAAAATTATTTTCATGTTTACTGGATTTTTGTCAACTTCTGGACTTGAATCTTTTTTTTACAACTGGAGTTTTGTGTGCACATCTGTTTAACAGATTTTACTTACTTGTATGCAGACAGTTGGTTCCTTGCCTCAGGCAGAAACAATCAGTCTTTGAAAGAAACCCCTAATTAGTGGACTCTTACGACATTTTTGTCATGGCAACAGTGGGTCAATTCTTGTTTTCTCTACATGGAGCCCCGGTACCCACACAGGGGGACAAAAATAAAGGGAATGATCAACAAAAACAAATAGGAAAATTAAATGGAATGCACCCCCCTGGACCTTAAAAATATATAAGCCCTGAGTTTTCCCCTTATGACATGATCAAAGATTATAGACTGTCTCCTTCTGATGTGGGCGATCAGTTCTCTTCATGAGTCAGTTTCTTTCAAAATAGATTCATTATTCTGTCTGTCCAGGGTGTTTCATCATTCGCTGCATCAACATAATTTTTCTCTATTTGACCAGCGTCCATAATTTACTTTTTATATGAAAAAACTGTTCAAAGTAAACAATTGATGTGCAACTTTTCAAAACACTAAATTGCACATGTTTCTTTGATGTTCACTCTCAGGTAATTGTCTGTAGCATTAGCCTGCCTTGAGTTATATGAGCAATGTGTCATTGTAAGTGGGATAGGCTATGAAAATAATTGCTGCACATGTGAACTATTTCCCAAAAAATCTCTAAGCCTGTGTCAGTTACTTTATATCCTATTGTTTAGGGGTACAACAGCAGCACCTGTGCAATTGTGAATTATAAAATCATAAAGACTTAGGAAATCTTAGGCCACATGCAAAAATTTGTGTTGATACTACAGGAGTTTTTGAGATATTTGTATCAAGGCACAACTTTTGAAACGCATTGTAGACCTACGTTTTTAAAGGTCAAATAGCCATTGATAGGCAATATGGTTAACATCAAGCCAGCAGCTTTTAACAGCCTAGCACATTTCCTTTTACCCATTTTTTTGGCTGGGGCACCCTCTAAGACAAGATATATTTTAAAAAGAAATATATGCCTGGTGTGGATTTAAACCCAAGTCTTTGGGTAGAAGGCAGTTTAATAGCCGCTGTGCTACCACGATTGCCTTTTTAAAATTATATTTAAATAATGATAGCAATGAACAGAATACTTTTATTGCCTCTTTTAAAATAATGTAACGATTACTTGATTGTCTTTGTTGTTTTTTTTAGCCGAGCAAATTCTTGATCGAGACCATATTTGCTAAAGGCATGACGGTCTTAGAATCCAAACAGATGATCTTAGAAGAGCTTAAAGAACAAAGAGGCATTGAAATTCCATTGGACAGGTAAGGGGACCATTTTTCAGCCAGTTTTTATTAGATCTTTTCTGTGAAGAGTTGAGCTAAGCATTGACATCATAGCACTCAGGAAAGTTCTGGTAAATGTATGTTCCTCAGCAGCCAGTAAAGAGTTCCAATGCTAATGGTACACGTGGCAGTCTTGATTACATGTCCATCTTACCTTTCTTCTTTGTGTTATGTGTTGACCAGATCTTCTGGTCACTCCCAGCTGCACTATTCACTCCAGACCCCTTTCCAGACACTAATGATCTATCTGTTCATGCTTCTGCATTATTCACTTGCTCCCAAAGGGCTTTGACCACGTCTAGCTCGTCATGCATCAATTCACTGCCCAGTGGTTCAGTGCCAGCCAATCTACCAGCCTTTTCATTTCCCAACACACCTGTATAAGAAAAGAGAAAAGATCCAGACGACTAATAAACAGATGTGAAGTATTGGAAAAGTGTTTGTTGGTGAGAGAATCAGTTAGTTGCATCAGGTTTAATCCCAGGTAGCATGGTAGTCTCCAGAGATCTCTGTGTGGGTTCTGAGGCCCTGTTTTCGGGGAAAAAGAATGGACCCATGTATGTCATAAAAGACAACTAATTAGGGATTTTAGAGCCAGATCTGTAAAACAAATGCACACAGAATTCAAGTTCTGGCACAAGACTAATTGCAGTGGACAAACCACCAGAATTTTCCGCCTGAGTTGCAGTCAGTAAACACCAGGGAGACGAGAGAAGTCTCCAAAGAGAGACTAGGAACCAGCAGTCCACATACAAATATGCCAGATCTGTAAATGGGATGTGTATGCAACACTCAGCTTCTGGAACAAGACTAAAGTCCGAAGGTGGCTGAACAACCAGAACTTGATGCTGGAGCTTACAGCCGGTGAATGCAAAGAAGAAGAAGAACTCTAAACCTTCAGCAAGTAGGTGAGCAACTAGCCGCTGCGCTGCTGAAGCTTCTGTTAGATAACATTCAAGAAAATTGAGGCTTCTGAACATAAATGTGCCCCTTGTCTTTTCTTCAAGATTTTGAGAGTTATCTATTGAGATATGTAACACCTGCTAATATCTTCTTCTTCTTCGCTTTCACCGGCTGTAAACTCCGGCCAAAAGTTCTAGTTGCTCATCCACTTCTGGAGTTTAGCCTTGTTCTAGAACCTGAGTGTTGCGTACACATCTATTTAACAGATTTGACATATTTCTATACAGACTTGGTTCCTTGCCTCTGGAGCAGATGCACTCCACTTGGAAGGAAGCCCCCCAAATTAGTCGACTCATATAACAGGCTTATCGGGGAGGTAGTGGGTCAGTTCTAATTTTTTCTCATAGTGGGGTCCCGGAACCCACATGGGGACCTGCTAATATGTTAGCGCTAGTTTTCTTCTTTGTGAAAGATCTTCTCAGTATTCTTGTTAAAAACAACAGGTACACTGGAAACCTTACTGTGCACTTGAAACCTTACTGTGCACTTGAGACCTTACTGTGCACTTGAAACCTTACTGTGCACTTGAAACCTTACTGTGCACTTGAAACCTTACTGTGCACTTGAAACCTTACTGTGCACTTGAAACCTTACTGTACACTTGAAACCTTACTGTGCACTTGAAACCTTTCTGTGCACTGACAAGGTAGCTACTTCACAGGTATCTAACCACCGCCCGGGGTTTGAAGTTCCTGACATATTGTCTGATTGCCAACCAACTGTGTCCCTTCTTGTCACTTGGACCACCTTTGTCAGATACCTCATTTCTAAGGCCTGGAGCTGGCTTTTTTGAGCTGTTGACATTGTCCCTGAATCACACCCATAGGTCAGGACAGACATATAATACAGATGACAACTGTTGCAGATGCCGATTGAGGAAGAAGTCCTGGACAAACCCCGGCACTGTGTACTTGGACAGCAATGTGTACGACAGTGAGATCCCCATTTACCCCAACTGGGAGATTTTCCTGGAAGTTTTAGATGGTGAGTAGCCTGTGCCGTTACTCATACAGCCAGATTTGTCTTTTTGTTTGAGAGATTACCACGTGAGCATGTTTTTGTATTTGCATAGATGAACGCTAAAAGTCGTGAAGTTTGACTTCATTCCATCAGATTTGATCCCAAATGGCTTGGTCTGACTCCCAAAGAAAGGCAAGCTGCCCAGAGAGAGTGTTGCAGCAGAGCACGAACCCTTTAGTCCCAGTGATTGTCCCCAATGATCTCAGTAAAAATGACACTATTAAACTGGATGACATAGTGAAGCGAACCCACGATATTCAGCATGTGAGGCAGATGACTCGGCCACTTGAGTATGATGATCCCCTAAAGTAGACAATCTCTTTCATTATACCTCTGTAAAACGTGTCTTTTAAATCTCTATATCGCGCGGATATGTTTTCAGATTTAAAAAAAAAGTCTGAAGTATAAATTATCTGATTATGTATTTTCGCATAAAGGGTGTTTATACGTGTTTTTATATAAAAGATGTTAGTATCCATGGCATAACAGTTTATACAGTGTATCAATATGTTTATGTAAGCTAGAGAGAAACATTGGGAAACATTGTACTTGTTGGGTAAAACATCCTGCTTAATATGACTTGCTGCCTTGAAATGCACATATGGAGGTCACTATGGTCCTACACAATATGTGTAACTTATTTATTTTTTCAGGGCCAGAAGAGCTGAAGGACTCCTCTCACCTAGCCATCTATGTTCGATGGTGGCACCCATCAACTCATAAGATTGAACCCTTCAGAGAGGTCGTCCTTCAACATCAGTCAGTGGAAGAACTCAAGATGAAGGTAAGCTCCGTACCCATGGTCTCCCAGTAGCTGCATCCATCTGAGGCTAAGGTAGTAGTTCTTTGATAGGTGGTGATATCTGGTGTCTTACTTTAGAGACTCAGAACAAGACGCTATAAACCAGTGTTTCCTAGTGTAAGGTCGGGGGGGGGGGGGGGGGGGTGTCGGTCACAGATGGTTTTCCATGTTGTGATACCACACAGTCCAGTATCTTCTTCCTTGCTTTCCCTTGATCCTCTTCCCCCTCCAACTGTGCTGCGTTCATAAAGTGCTCCAGTAGAAGGATGCAGGTCAGTTTGAGGAAACAAGGAGGAAGATATAGACTGGTTCTAATTGAATGAGGAGGAGGAGGAGGAGGAGGGTGTATATATTGGTTCCAGATGAATGAGTTAAGTTAGTTGCGTTTCCTTTACAGGATATTGCAGAACTTAGAAAAACAATTTTTTACATTCAGTAATTTGCCCATCGCTAACTTAACTGTCAGCTCTCAGTACCACTGTCGAAACCAACTCAAGACAAACCGCAGCTGGAATCAAACCCAGCATTATGAATCTCATTGAACGCCCAAGCTACAGTCGCCGACAAATGAACGAGTAGGAGGAGGATATATAATTGATTCCAGATAAACAAGTAGGAGGAGGATGTAGGTTGATGCGAAGTAAATGAGGAGGCGAATACAGTTTGATTCCAAATGAAGCAGGAGGATGTAGGTTGATGCGAAGTAAATGAGCAGGAGAATACAGTTTGATTCCAAATGAAGCAGGAGGATGTAGGTTGATGCGAAGTAAATGAGCAGGAGAATACAGTTTGATTCCAAATGAAGCAGGAGGATGTAGGTTGATACGAAGTAAATGAGGAGGAGAATACAGTTTGATTCCAAATGAAGCAGGAGGATGTAGGTTGATGCGAAGTAAATGAGCAGGAGAATACAGTTTAAAGAAATACAGAAATGAAGCAGGAGGATATGGGTTGATTCCAAATGAAGCAGGAGGATATGGGTTGATTCCAAATGAAGCAGGAGGATATGGGTTGATTCCAAATGAATGATGACAGGGAGAATATTCCAGATGAACAAGCGGGAGGAGTGTTAGAAACTGTTACATTTATATTATGAAGAATATTGTAATAATGGGAATATCATGATAGGTTATGATGGTTGTAAAAATGTTTTTATTTGGGTGTCTTTTTTTCAGATTTCTGAGCTGAGTGGGATTCCAGCAGAGAATGTGGAGTTTGCTAAAGTGAGCCTTTCAACAGAGATGTATTTTGTGTTTTGTTTGTTTTTATTGTTTATATTTCCTTTGTGATAGGATGTGTCTTTTTTTTTAATCGTTAATCTTTTTTTTAAATGGCCTGTTTACATTTTTGCCTTTTTGCCCTTTCAGATTGTTTTTATTTTTATTTCTACCCAATTTTTGTTTGTTTTTGTTGTTTAATATTCATTAGTGATAGGATAGTGTCTTTTGTGTGTGTATAGGAATAATGTTTTTTTTAAATCGTGGGGGGGGGGGGGGGTGGTGGTGGTGGTGGGGTGCTGTGGGGGGGGGGGTGGGATGGTGGGCGCGTGCGTGTGTGTGTGTCTCCACCCAATTTTTGTTTGTAGACTGGTGATTTGCTTTCATGTTTAAACAAATATTTATTTATTTTTACATCTAAACAGACTTCCTATATAAACAAATATTTTTATTTGTTTTCTAATATAAACAAATATTTTTTCATATCTGAACTATTTATTTTTCTGTCTAAACAAATATTTATTTTTCTGTCTAAACAAATATTTATTTGTTCTCCTTTTTTTGCACAAATATTTATTTGATCTCCGGCCTAAACAAATTTTTGTATCAGTTCTGCTGTCTAAACATTTTTTCCCCCTGTCTAAACAAGACTATTTTTTGATTTCCTAGCTAAAGAAATTTTTATTAGCTTTCACTTTCATTTATTTTTTTTTCTGTCTAAACAAATATTTGTTTACCCCTTTTTTCTATCTTAACAAACTCGGTGCTGGCTGCTTAAGATGAAGACGGAGCACCAAGTGCTGTGATGTCAATTTTTGACAACTAAATTCTGTCTTAACAGATGTGTATTACTACCGCAAACATTGAAAAGATATAAAACCAAATGAAAAGCATATCACTGCAAACCGTGAAACAAAGCTGCATGTAATTTCACAATAACATAGTCGGTCATTGTTTTCCCCAGATATAAATTGGTCAGTGTTTCCCCCAGATATAAATCGGTCAGTGTTTCCCCCGGATATAAATCGGTCAGTGTTTTCCACAGATATAAATAGGTCAGTGTTTCTCCCAGATATAAATTGGTCATTGTTTTCCCCACATATAAATCGGTCAGTTTTTCCCCCAGATATAAATGAAAAAAAGTAGTTAACGTATGCTTTAATCCAACCATCTTCCTGCCTCCAACACTTCTCACGTGTGCATGTTTTCAGGGAAAGGGGACGTTCCCTTGTGAGGCATCCATCCTGGAGATCCACACAGATCTGGAGTGGAACCCGCATGTGAGCACACTCAACATGTGGCCCCTGTACATCTGTGATGATGGCCACGTGATCTACTTCAGGTGATTACCAGCTACCTTCGTCTTTTGTGTGTTCCCCCATACATTGTTGTGTCTAGTTAAGTTTGGGCCATGTCTTCTTGTAAGCTGATTTCTTCTTCTTCTTCTTCTTCGCGTTCACCAACTGTAAACTCTGGCGGCAGGTTCTGGTTGCTCGTCCAATACTGAACTGCAGTCTTGCTTGAGAACCTGAGTGTTGCGTGTGCATCAGTTTTACAGATCTCATTCTCTTGAATAGAGACTGTTGGTTCCTTGCCTCTCCGGCAGATGCACTCCGACTTCAAAGGAAGCTCCCCAATTAGTTGACTCTTACGACATGCTTTTGGGGAGGCAGTGGGTCTATTCTTGTTTTCCCCACAATGGGGCCCCGGAACCCACACGGGGGGTAAGCTGATTTGAATCAGTGAGTCGTTGACACGTTGCAAATTGGTTGAGCATCTGTAAACTTGAGCATAGTTATAAACTTACAGAGTTTGTTGTTGTCATGTTGTAAATCTTTAGGACTGAGTCATGTCATGTAAATCTTTAGGACTATGAGTCATGTCATGTTATAAATTGGTTGGGTCTGTGAGTCATCTCATGTAAATTGGTTTTAAGACTATAATTGTCCTGTTGTAAATTGGTTGAGACTGTCATATCTTGTAAATTGGTTTTGACCGTCGCACTGTTTGTATCAGTATGAAATCTTGAGTCCTGTCCTGCTTTTTGCATCTGGTTCTATGATGGAACCAGGCTCAGATAATGCACATACAGAAATAATTAGTTGACAGATGATCAGAGCTGGACTGAGCTGTTTGTTGAAAAATCCATGACAACTTTTATGGTGTCGGTTACACTTCACATTTTATCTTCTTTATTGGCTGATAACTATTGTCAGATGTTCTCTTTTGTAAAGCTTTCTCTGTAGTAAAAGTTTCTTTATTGTAAAACTTTCTTTTTTTTATAAAGCTTGCTCTGTAGTAAAGGTTTCTTTATTGTAAAGCTTTCTCTGTAGTAAAGGTTTCTTTATTGTAAAGCTTTCTCTGTAGTAAAGGTTTCTTTAATTTATTGTAAAACTTTCTTTTTTTTACAAAGCTTGCTCTATAGTAAAGGTTTCTTTATTGTAAAACTTTCTTTTTTTAAAGCTTGCTCTGTAGTAAAGGTTTCTTTATTGTAAAGCTTTCTCTGTAGTAAAGGTTACTTAACTCATGTCGTGCTGTTTATATCTGTTAACTTCATTCGTGGCATGGTGTTTGTATGTGTAAAATCTTCAGTCATTTTATGGTGTTTGTGTCAGTTAAATCTGGAGTCATGTTATTGTGTGTGCTTTGTGAGCATGCATAAACAAGTCACCACTCAGTTGTGCTAAAAGGCAGAGTCTGGTCCTCTAATAGAGCCAGGCTCAGATGATGCACACACAGAAATGACCAGTCCACTTGTGACCAGAGCTGGACACCGACCCAGACTGAGCTGTTTGTTGAGAGATCTATGGCAGCTTTTATAGTGTCGGTTACACTTGACATTATGTCTGCTTAGTTGATTTATGATTATTGTAAAACTTTCTCTGTTGTAAGGCTTTGAGAAAATACCAATCCTCACCTACACAGTGTTTGAGATGGCACTACCTGTAGCACATTAAGCAATTTTTCCCAGTAACACTAAAAAGTGGGAATTCTTGAAACAAAAATCTTTTAAAAACAAGTTTCAGACAAGTCACTTAATAATTTAAAATTGTTTGTTTGTTTGTATACATTATAATGCTTGCTTCTGAAATATGTACAGATTTTTAAAGCGAATAATCAGCAAACATGATGAACAGAGTAAAGCAATAAATAGAATACATTCCCTGGAGCCTACAACATATGTGTATCATAATGTGACTCGTTCCATAAGCCCGTGACCTCTATAACTGGGGCTTATGGGAAGATTTGATGTAAAGTTGGCTTTAAAAAGCCATTTGGTTTGGTTTTATCAACCGTCACCTCCACGCAGTGCATTTCTAGTTAATACCTTCACATCCTGATCTCTTCAACTTTTGCGGAGACGTGAGCACAGCTAATAGCATAAACTACACGCCCCTTAAACAGGTTACTGTAAGACAAGTAAAAAAAAGTGACTTTTACAGCGGGTAGGACCCAAACGGAAGTGTCAGCTTTGTAGCTTTAGGATGTCAGAAAGTGGTGAACGTAGACAGTAAAAAGTTGTTTGCATTCAGACAGTGTCGGCCATATTATTATTGCTATTTTTACTGCTGCTGCTTCTTTTTACACCAGTGGTGCGTCGGACATAGACTAAGACTTGGATAGATCCATCAGTGGGTGACGTGCCAACATTACACCGACAGCCTTCACTTTCCAGGGCATTTCCTAGTACCCATTTTAGGCCAGAATATTATTATCTGTAGTAGAATTAGTGTATTTTTTCGTTTATAAGATGTTCACATGTGTACGTCGACTCCTGTATTTTAAAACCTTAAAATTCATAAATTAATATTTTGATGCATTTCATATATAAGACGGCGCCGATTTTAAACTTAAAAAAATCATCTTGTCTACAGAAAAATGTGTTATTAAAATTAGACAGCATTCTTTGTTTCATACGTTCCTTACAAAATCGGCTTCTGCTTTAACTCATTCACTGTCACCAGTTGACCACAAATTTACCGCTCACTTCTTACATGCTAAGTTTGTCGAGACACTGTGTCCCCATTTTAGCTGTTATCATAACCAGTACTGGAGGCAAAAATAGAGCCACACCCTTCCTAATAAGTTTGTTGTAAATGTCAACTAATTGGGGTTTTCCGTCTAAGTTGTAGTGCATCTGCCTGAAAGATAAAAAGAAAAAAAAAAAGCCAGATGTGTAAAACAGATGTGCATGTAAACCTCAAGTTGTGGAACAAAATCAAAACCCAGAAGTGGAGAGACAACCAGAACTTTCTGCTTGAGTTTACAACTGATAAACATGAATGACGAAGAAGATAACCTGTGCTGTGCCATTTGTTTCTTTAACACCTTTTGTTGATGACTCTGTTACAGGGACAGTCGTGAGGAACTGGTCGAGTTATCCGAGGACAGGAAGAAGGAAATACAACAGAAAGAAAACAGGTGTGTTTATGAAGGCTGTTGTAAGTGTGTTATGGAAATTAGATATCTATAATCCCTGTATGGGTTCTGGGGCCCAAGTTTGGGAAAAGTAAGAATACACCCATTGCCCTCCCAACTAGCATGTCGTCAAAAGTTGACTTATTAGGGGTTTCTTCAGAGTCGGGGTGTGTGTACCTGAGAGGTTTACAAATAAGTCAGATTAGTAAAATGGATATGTACGTAAAAGTGAAGTTCTGGAACACGACCAAAGTCCAGAAGTGGACGAACATCCAGAACTTATTCGTCAAGAGTTTACAACTGGTGAGCACAAAAACAAAAGAAAGACATGATTGACAAATTGAATTATAAACTATTGAATATATTAATAAATAGAAATAAATAACAATGTTGGCATTGATGCTTTGAATAAATTCAGTTTTCTATCAGTGATAATGGTGTGTAGATGTGATACAGTACTTACAATAACAATATGGTAATATTTCAGAATATCCAGACAGAACCATAGGATCACCTGCTCGCCGCGCAAAGAACGAGCGCTGAAAATCTACACCGATGAAGACAATAGAATTTCTCATCCCAAAACCTCACTTGAGTTAGACTGATTGTGTGCTGTGTGACCCCATAACCTCTGAACTGTAGCTATTGTCATGTAAATAATATCAAGACTGTGACATAGTGTGCCAGTTTCCATAACGTGACGGTCTCCACTTCTCTTGCAGTGAAACACCGGCACGGTGTTGCTGGCGTTACTCTGGATGTTTGTGACTTGGAAGTTGTTTACATAGCGGAGCTATGGATATCATCCAACACCTGTTTAGTATATTTGTATATTATGCCAGAGTTGGGTTTGTTTCTTGATTTGATTGTTTGTTTTGAAGTAGTGGTTTTGCAGATTCAAAAAGTGAGTTGCATCAGTCCTTTTTTCACAGTTAGTCAACTAGGCTGAATTCACTATTTGTGAAATGAGTTGGTACAAGTTTTTTTTTTATCTGAGTCTCTGCCAAGATACTGTTTCTTTGAATGGAATTAATTTTATCCTTATAAATTTGGACGAGTTTTCTGTTTATGAAATTTTGAAATCATCAGTCTTGGGGTTTCTTTTGACTAATGTGATTTTACCATTATTAGAATCTTCTTCTTCTCTTCTTTGAGTTCACCGGCTGTAAACTGGCAGAAAGTCCTGGTTGTTCAACCGCTTCTTGACTTTAGTTTTCTTCCAGGACTTGAATTTTTTTTTCTGTGCAGACTGTTGGTTTCTTGCATCTCAGGCAGGTGCACTGCGACTTTAAAGGAAGTATCAACCCTATCTTCAGGGGACCTGTTTCTTGAATGACCACAGGAAGATGTAGATAGGACTTCACCAGTTGGAGCACTAGTCCTGGTGAGTGACCACTTGATAGAAGTGAAGCTAAGGTACCACGGTCATCACAGAAAGCTGAGAGTTTCAGGTACCAATGCCTAAAGTCTTTACCACAGTAAGGATTAAAATGTGCATATAGGGACAAGTGAAGCATGACACACAGACAAGTCTTTCTTTGTTGCAGCACACACACACACACTCACACACAAGGGGTACACATGACTTGTGAAGGCTGTGAGGGTTTTTGTATGGGGATGTTTGGATATGAGTGGGAGAAGAAGGTTAGAACATATGATAATCAGGTGTAAGTTGGACAAGACCATAACAGTGTCTGTTTTATGGTAACTTAGATTGAGGTGTGTACATGCATGTATGTATGTGTGCGTATGTTTTTAAAATGAAATGCAGTTTTGATTTGAGTATACTGTATAGTCTTCGGTTACCTTTTCAGTACTTTTATGACTGATATGACTTTATAGTCATGTGTTTTGTCTTTTGTTGTTGAAATATCGCTTCTTCTACTCATACTCCTCCTCCTTCTACTTCTTCTCCTCCTCCTCCTCCACTAATCCTGTTCTGCCTTTCAGTGTCAGAATTAAAGAGGCATAGAATGTAATCCTTGGTATGGCTACACTGATGCTAGTATTTACAGTCTTGGATGTCCTATTTATCCATCTGTTTGTATGGTCAGCCTCTAGATGTGCTTCCATTATGTCTAAGTGTCAGTGCTCTCTGTGGTGCACCATCTGGTGGTAGTCTTGACACATGTCCGAACCATTTAATTTGTTGTCTCTTGACGTGTAAACCCACATAAGTATAGTGCGAAGCTGGAAATAGTGACTTCTGAGGTTCATAACTTGGACGCCTCCTGGACAGAGGAAAAAGAGGAAGAAGAGAAGGGGACTCATACTCGGCATTTCTAGAGGTTGGAGTGGGTGCCAATTCTTCTGAGCCAGTCCACTCTCATATGATCAGTTTATTACAAACTGCAATACTATACATTGCCTTATGCTCACTGTGTATGTTGTTAAAAGTGTTGACTTTCTGTTGAACAAAGATGTACTCATTATAGACCAAACTGAAGGGAAATGTGCTGGCATGGTACCTAGTGGCTCTTTGCTGTCCAGTTAAGGGCTCCTGGGTTCACTCCCCCTTTGCAGATCAGGGTGTTTGTTGAAACCTTTCTTTGAAGTAAGCCTTGATTCATGAAACTGGTATCACCCTTGATTCATGAAACTGGTATCACCCTTGATTCATGAAACTGGTATCACCCTTGATTCATGAAACTTGGTATCACCCTTGATTCATGAAACTGGTATCACCCTTGATTCATGAAACTGGTATCACCCTTGATTCATGAAACTGGTATCACCCTTGATTTATGAAACTGGTATCACCCTTGATACCTTTAAACCAGTCAGGGGATGATGTGATCAGTATCACTGGGGATGCCTTTACTTCCCAGGACATTACCTGGAACCCATTTTAAGCTGGGCCAACCTGGTAGCTAAGTTTAAAAAAAGAAATCTGCTGCTTTGAACCCTAGACATTCAAGCTGCTGGCTGATGGTCATCTAGCCACCATGGCTCTGATGTGTGGTTTCCTTTAATCTTGAAATCCATAAAAAATCCTTTTTATTTTATGAAGGTACGTTGGATTACGAGTCGGACTCGCAACACCAAGCCGCCGACGCCGCAGTAGACATAGAGTGACGCATTAAATGTAATATGTTCCCTAGACCAAAAAAAAAAAAAAGCCATTCGGAGCACAAGGAGAGCTCCTAAATGCTGTTTTTAGTAATGCATTCATTTCCTGACCTCCTCCTAAATGCTGCACAGTGTCTCCTGTCACTACAGCTCCATCAAACTATAGCTCCACCGACTGCTGTCACCACAGCTCTACCAAACTCTACAGCTCCACTGACTCGTTTCTACAGCTCTACCAAACTCTACAGCTCCACCGACTGCTGTCACTACAGCTCTACCAAACTCTAAAGCTCCACTGACTGCTGTCACTACAGCTCTACCAAGCTCTACAGCTCCACTGACTCCTGTCACTACAGCTCTACCAAACTCTACAGCTCCACTGACTGCTGTCACTACAGCTCTACCAAACTCTACAGCTCTACCAAACTCTACAGCTCCACTGACTGCTGTCACTACAGCTCTACCAAACTCAACAGCTCCACTGACTGCTGTTATTACAGCTCTACCAAACTACAGCTCCACTGACTGCTGTAACTACAACTCTACCAAACTCTACAGCTCCACTGACTCCTGTCACTACAGCTCTACCAAACTCTACAGCTCCACTGACTCCTGTCACTACAGCTCTACCAAACTCTACAGCTCCACTGACTCCTGTCACTACAGCTCTACCAAACTCTACAGCTCCACTGACTCCTGTCACTACAGCTCTACCTAAACTCTACAGCTCCACTGACTGCTGTCACTACAGCTCTACCAAACTCTACAGCTCCACTGACTGCTGTCACTACAGCTGCATCAATTTCTATGGCTCCACGACCTCTCCCACGGTAGTTTAAGCCAGACTCCCAAACACCATGTGTTTGAGGGAAATTAGACAAGAGTTGTGTGTATGAGAGAGAGAGAGAGAGAGAGAGTGTAACTGACATACATCAGGCATTTCAAACTAAAGATCCCCTGCAGGCCATATGGGTCACATATGTGTTGTCTTTTGGGCCACACACGATAACTAATCGAGGTCATTTAATTTAAAATAAAAATGTATTGCAGAAAATTTTTATTGTCGGCCGCAGGTGTGCTTGAAAAGGGCTGCATGCAGGCCGGGGGCCGTATGTTTGACATGCCTGTCCTACATATTTGAATAATGTTCTGAAAATAAACATGATGGATATGTTTCACACATTGTCTCTACCTGGTTGACTTTGTCTTATTTGTTGTGCGTTCTTTGTTTAGTTGTTGATGTTATACTTTCATGTTACACTGTTCCTGTTAGGTTTTATGCTTGATGTACTTTTATTCTTGTGGAGCCACTGTCATGTAGCGGCTAGACATTCATCTACAGATTCAAAGGTCGTGAGTTTAGCACTCATGGGGCCTTTTTATTGTTGTTGACCTTGGCTTCCAGGTCGACACAACCTTAAATGGGTATTATTTAAAATTCTGGGAAGCAAAGGCGGCCGGCATAATGTTGACTACCCACCTAATGCTGATTTGTTTATAAAATACAGTTCTAGACCTATATGCCTGAAGATGTGGAAAAGGGTCCCTGACCGGTTTCCTTTTACTGTAATTCTTTTAAAGCATGATAACGTCGAAGCCATTAATCGGCCTCTCCAGTATAGGCCCTCTCTGCCTGGCGCTACAACCATTCCACCCTGGCATCCTGAAATCTCCGGCGCTTTATTCTGAAGATAATGGCGGAGAAGGAAGTGACCCCTGTTGACCTGGCCGGCAATCATCACCCGGAGGAAAGGCAAGGCCGACATACAGACTGATACTGGAACCATCGGGATTGTAACTTTGCACAGGCTGTCGAAGATACAGACGTAGCGCTTATTGAGTCTTTTCATAGATGCATATTCGTGTGTCTGCTGTGCTGTCTGGCCATAACGTCCTTTGTTTGTTCATTGTAATTAATTTGGTAAAAATGACAAACTATTTGTTTTTTCTTAGCCCTTCTCTACCCTATAATTCCCTACGCTTTTTTAAAACATAGTGCTAATTGGAAACACCCCCCCCCCCCCACCATATAGTTTCCGGGGCGCCATTTTAGGAGGAAAACACAATAGACCCGTTGCCACCACTCCCCTCCCCAACAAGCATATTGTTGTACAAGACAACTAATTAGGGATGTTTTCTTTGGTTTTGGAGTGCATCCTTCTTTAGGCAGAGAAACCAAGAGACTGCATTAAAATTAGATCTGTAAATAGGATGTTGACACAAAACTATTTATATTTGATTTGATTAAAGAACCGACATCACAGCACTTAGGGCATTCCCATAAGCGCTCCGTCCCTATCTTCAGCAGCCAGCGATGAGTTCCGATACTAATGGTGCCAGTGGCATTCTGATTAAACGTCCGTCTTGCCTTTCCTCTTAGCCTCGAGCATCTGCTAGAACCTCTCGTCACTCCCAACTGCATCTGTCTCACCACACTGTGATGATCAATCTGCTCCTACGCACTTTACACGCTCTCCCACAAGGCACTAACCACGTCTGCCTTATCATGCATCAGTATTCCACCATGCTGTACAGA